ATCTATTTTATGGTATCTTTATTTATTATTGACGCAAATCTGATTTTAGAATCTGAAAAAAATAAAAATTGACAAAGATATGTTGTCGAAAGTAGACTTGAAAAGTATCACAAAGGTTTCCTTCAGATTCTATGAAAAAACTTTCATGTACAGCATAAACCGATTCAATGAGCAATTGTTCTTTTGAGTAAATATTTTCTAACAGTTTCAAGTTGGTTCAACGATTATCACTGAGAAATTAAACGAATAATGTATTTGCAAAGGAATGAGTGCATATAATTTCCAATGGATAAAATCTATGCTTATTTTGAAAGACAAAAATTACAATGATTGTGATCAAAGAAGAAAACAACACTTAAGAAAAAATAGGATATTTTAAGCACTCAAAGACAGAAATTAAAAGCAATTGTAGATCACTATCATAATTGTAGTCCATCAAAATGTATCAGAATAAACGACTTGACACTCACACATTGACTGAAATTTACATTCTATGTGTCACGAGTTGTAATACGCGCCGAATCAATGTTATACGAGCATGAATCTCAAGACTGGTACGTTGATGTATGAGAATGATAGTTAAGTCATCTTCTTCTCAAGCATCAAAATCATTTACGGGTTTCATTTTAGAATGGTGTTTTTAAGCCTACTATGCTAGTAACAAAGTATTGCATTTTCAACTTAAAATATCAAGTATCCGACGGTCAGTACATATATATTGCGGTCCGTACTATGAAATATGTGAGTATCGGCGTGCGTGAGTTGGTGTCAATATGAATGTAACTGTGGTTCTGATTCAAGAGGGAACCAGTACCTACTGTCCAGATCAACACTTACTCAAGAGCAATTCGCATCGATATTACAAATTTAAAACTCTATTCTTCAAAATTAATATCTAATTCTAGATCGAAAAAAATTAAATCTTTGAACAACAAGTTCTGATGTATACGATGAGATTTGAAATCCATTAATCAATAGTGAAATAAATGATGAAAATGAAGACATTTCGTCTTCAAAAGTTACATTGAATGATGAAAAATTAAAAAGATTTTCCTTCTGAACTACAATATTTACTTAACGATTTAATTCAACAAGATCGACAAATCGAAGTACCAAATTATTTGAAACCTTTTACAAGACGACATTTAACAATATGAATTCAAAGTGCTTTGAAAGCATTTGAGAAGGAAGAAGGTCCACATCATATTATTGATATTCATCGAAATGCAACAGAAGTCAAGAAACATTCAAATATAATCATGGTTGATTGTGATACAAATATTGATCGACTTAATAGTCAATGGATGAAGGTTTACATCAATTTCTTCAATTAAAACGTCAATGTAAAACATCATTCTTAAATGTTAAAGTTATTTTTATGTCGAATATAAATGTTTTTAATATGTCTAAGCATATATATGATCTAAGTAGAACATTAGGATCTGAAAATGAACGGGACTTTTTAAATTTAAAATTATTATGTTGTTTTTTTTGCTATTACTGTAGCTAATCGAAGTCATTTTCAAGAATATGAACTAATAATTTATGAGAATATTCGTGAATGAAGAGATATTCTAGTTGATAAAGCAATGGAAATCGCTCGAAAACTATTAGTTTAAATTATCTGTCAAGCAATTAAACAAATCGAACAAATTTATCAAACGATTCAATCTCATATTCAAAAGAATAAACATCAATAATATTTGGTCAAATAAATTACATTCGACCGTCTGTGTCCGTTTCTCAATGCATTTATTCAATTGTTGACCATCGAGAGCTGGCCACCATTTAGTCAATAATCCTTCACGTACAATTCTACTAACTCATGGTGTAGTAGCATGTTGTTTGGCGAATGTTGCACATTCATCTAATATAACTAATTTAAATTCGACAATTTCATTCATATTGCATTTGAAATTGACAATCAAGTTAAACTTATCGTTATTGTTGTTGACTATAAAAATATAATCAATTTCACTTCTATCAAAATGATCATCATCTGGAATATTTATTTCTTGATAAACTATTCTTTTTCCATAAATTAGATCTCTTGAAAGATCATCGCTAAATTCATATTTTGTTCGCCGAATAGCAGCATGCTTTACATCATCGATACCATTCATTTATCAAGTAGACGACTACAATTTGTATTTGTTCATAACAATGGATGACCATTTTTTTTTCAGTTGAATGTTATTGTAATAGAAGACGAGATGATATCAAGAACTATCGAAAAGAAAAAAAAAGAAAGAGCTCGATGAATTAATGATTGTTTACTTTCAATATATGCCAATAGATGAACATCTTGTTTAATAGTTGTATCAATTACACGATGTTGTCGATCAACAACAATCATAGACTAATGAGAAGTTATACTTGTAGAACATAGCATTTATTAAGAACGATCATGTTGGTAACAGTTTTTGACATGGATGCTACAATACGATGATAGAAATGCAATGGACAAATGATAAGTGAGGGTGCGAATGTGGTTGTAGCGCTTTTCTTCACCAACACCTCATATCCTAACTGGTTCTTCTGATGAAACTTCACTTGTCTAGTCTGGTGCATTGGTTAATATGAGCTCTGAAAATCTTTTGAATTTCGATTTCAGTCATGATTTTATGAAAATAAAATTTCTTTTTTATGGAATTCACGTTTCGTTCCAAAAATGAACATTTTTGTTTATTTATATCGCAAGAGACTATCTAAATATAATCGCCAATTTGTGTTCCTTAAATAACGGTTGTAAAACATCTAGTACAGGGCAAAAACGTCAGACGCTGTGATAAACTTAGTATTCTTAATTCAAAGAATGCTTGTTCCACTTTCTGAAACGCCTGTTTTGTTAGCATGAATAAATGAACGATCAGTTATTGGAGATAACACTACTACAAAAAAACAAGACAAATATTGACTAAAATAAAGAATTCTATCATAAAAGCGAAATGTAAATATGCAGGTCAATTTTATTAAATATGATATATGTGTGATCTGTCCTGTTCGATGAATGATTTTCTTATCTAATTTTCTAGCTTCTTGATTAGCCAGATAATATGCAATCGTACATCTATTAATAGTTTAGATTGTTTGCTTTAACTTACTATTCAAACTTCTTTTCTTGAACAAGAATTAAATCCAATTTATTGAAATGGACAGAATTAAGACAAAGCGAGGTATGTCCAGATTTCCGAAAAAGAAAATTACAGAAATTTCCGAATCTTCCATCAACTCGATAACTACATAGCAGAGCAAATAAACATTTTTTGGAAATTTTAAAAATTTTTAGAAACTTCTGTAATTTCGGAAATTTCGCTAGATATAGGATTTCAGAAATTTCGGAAATTACATGATTTTTCGAAGTACTAAACAAGTTAGAACACGAGAGCTTGAAATTTTCGAAACTTCCAAAATTTCCTTTTTTGGAACTCTGAAACCTGTTGGAGAAAGCACGTTAGTCTAAAGCCCTATTTCTTAACAATCGTTAAACATTATAGTTATTATATTTTTTCGGATGCAAATTGTTAATCATCTATATACTTAACAGAGATTGTTCAATGGAGACAATATTCACATATTATTCTCGCTATAAAAGATTTATTTTCTTCTGTTATCCTAATGAATATTTTTTGTTTCTTCAGTTAAGTCGACCGACTTATCATTTAACGTTTTGATATCATATTCTATGAAATTCTTTCTAATATTATTTTTTATTCAATTAAGTTTTGTTAATTTGTCTATTTTTAGCTTAGTTTGATATAATTATTCATCGAGACATAAATGTTTGAAATATATATACCATACGCCTTCAGCCTTGTTATGCGATAATATTGTTACTATAGTGGGTTACAGCATATAGAAACTTGTCTTATTCTATACAAGATGTTTGTTAATATGCCACAATGATTCATCTCATCGATAATATGAATAACATAACTTTTGAAGGCAAAATAGAAAATAAATTGTTGAATCAAAAACAATTTGTTTAGATTGATAGAATAAGTTCACTGATTGAAAAAGCAGATGTTTATTCAAACTATCGTACAAAATAAAATCAATTCACTTGATTTCTATTCTAGTTATTAAAAGAAATATTCTTCAGCAAAAAAAATGCTTTTTTTTTCAAATAAACTTTTGTCCTTCATGAGCACAATACTGATATTAGTCTCCATATCTCAATAGCATCTATCTAACCTCAATACCCATACACAAGTAATTTAGAGGGAAAGAGAAGCAAAGAAAGAAGGAAGAAAACAAGTTATAGCTAGAATGGTTATTCCCAATTCTGCTCATCCACTGCTTATGCTATCATTTTTAGTCAGAAAGAGAGAAAAAAAATACGCCACATAAACAGTACAGTATATTGACGATAGAACAAGTCTTGTACACTCGCTTGTTCCGTTCGGCCTCATCTCAACGTCAGAAAATCGGGCCAGTTGTGCGGTATTTATTTATGTGCGGGCACATCGCATTATATATATAAGAAAATATATCTGGTACCACTAGGCCGAGAACATTGCACTTTTCTTTCTATCTTTTTTTGTGCAGAAAATGCATATTTGTCTATGATGTACAACTTGGTAGCGTACACAACAGAAGTAGAAAAAGGTCGTCAGTATGTAGTATGTTTTATATTGCTGTTTTGATAATCAATAGATTCGAATGGTGAATAATTCAGTACGAGAAAGAAATTTCGAAATATTAAATATGAATAAAGATTATTCAACCTAGCTTAGAACCAATGACTGTAGTATGATTAAGCATTTTTATGTATAGACAATATTTTTTTGTTGTCTAAAGAAGGATAGAGCAGAATGGATGACATCCTAATAACACTTCCAGAATATTCTAGACAGTGCACAAATATATCGAGCAAGAAATTGCGCATCGATGCATTTTATTAGTAATACGTATCCGTGTATCAATATATATATTTCTACATATCTATTAATTTATTTCAGATTTCTTTCATTCCGCATCATCGCTTCTAAATCGTCACGATGCCTCGTGAGAATATACCACAATCAGCAATGAAGAAACTTGAACAATTCTTCACCAAAACACTTGGTAAGAAAAAAAATTTCATTTAAATAATAATAATCAATGATCTTATTTATTGATAGATACAAATAATGATGGTCTTGTTAATTGGACTGATTTTGAAGCTGCTATTGAGGTGATATTTATGATATTGTTATTTTAATGAATTAATAAAATAATGTTTATTTTTCTTTTGTTATATATGTATAGTCTATTGTATCAAAAGATGAAGCTGCAAAAAATGCTCGATTAAAAGTTCTACGTAAACGTCTTGAACAACATTTTCAAAAGTATTTTTGGGATTTATGTGCTGTTGGTGATGCAAATAAAGATGGAAATATTGATTTAGGTATTTTAACATGTTAAAAAGATTACATTTCTTTTTTTTTTAAATATTTTTTATTTTATTTTAAAAGATGAATGGCTTGATGTTATGAATGATATCATTGGTGGTTTAAAGGATAAAAATGAATTTCCTGAATGGTATGAAGGATTACACAAAGCTCTTTTTCGTGCTAATGAATTTTTAGGTAACTGAATATATATATATATATGTTTTGTATCCATTCTTTTTATCTTTAGACGAACGAGCTGTATCAAAAGATGAATTTGCTAATATGCTTATTTCATGGGATATTGATGAAACAAGTGCTGAAAAAGCTTATGACTTCATAACTGAACATGGCAAAAAACGCATGGATTGTACGTAGAAAATTATTGCATTTTTTTAAATTTATTTTTTATATATATTTTAGATAATCTCTTTTCGGAATTTATGAAGAAATTCTTTCTTAATGAAATACCGAAACATCCATTAAATCTTGGCCTTGATTAAAAAAAAAAGAGAGACATGACAAATCGTTCTATATCCTTCTTTTTTTTTAATGCTCTTGAACCTAGAGAAATCAAACAAAACCTATTCTTTAATATACTTATTCACTTTGCTTTACTTTTTGTGTGTGTTTTTCTTTTGAAATGAAATAAATGCAGTTTTTTTTTTTCGATTAAACGGAATGATTTAGTTTTATTCATATCGAAGTTTTGATTCATATCGATTACGCATTTCAGAAAGTCTTTTCCAATATTGTAATTCTAAACTATTATGAATCTCTTGAATTTGTTCAGCTAAAAATGAGAAAAATATAAATGAGAGGAAAAAAATAACTTTTTTCTCTTTACTTGTGACTGTATGTAATTCATTTAATGATATACGATACGAACGACGAGTTTCTTCAAGATTTTTTTCATATCTCATGCGTGTTGCTTGAAGAGATGATTCGATTTTACTGGTTAAATCAACGAGTAATTGTTGAAACTATATTTACAAAAACAAACAACGAAATAGAATTCAAAATACAATTAATTTTTATTTACTTGATCATTGAAACTATTTATTATCATTTGAATTTCATCCCGTGTTGAATGACTATATGAAAAAATAAAAATTTAGCTCGTTATTGACGATTTAACTTACTCATCTAGCAGAACTTGATTCGTATGTTGTGGTGTCTTAATGAAAAAAATAGATTCGAATAAGAACAGACATATATGAGACAGTGAACAAAAACAAAACATTAAAGAATAGTGTCAGTTTCTATTAGCAGTATTTGAAGGATTTTCTTATTCATTGAAAATAATGTGATTATCAAAAGAATATTCATTTAGCATGAGTGTTCTTTTGCAACAATCCTCAAAAAAAGAATCCAGCATTTATCATTTAGTTTTGAGAGGTTTTTGGTGAAGTAATATTTCTTTATAAAGTAAACAACTTGATTAACTTAACAGCATTTTTTATCACCAACTTTTTTTCAGCATTCATTTCACATGATTATTTTTCAATAAAATGTATGTACTGCTCCAGACTAATTAGTTAAAGGTTTCATCGATCTGGATAAGAACCAAAATACAGTGTATAAAGCCAACATATTATATATTACAATATTAACTTGGGAAGCAATATTTTAAAATAGATACGCAATTTCTCTACAGATTCATGCATCTCATTCACTAATTCCTATGATCATACATTAATCTGTTAAATCACAACTCGAAAACAAATTGATGATAAAAAAAAACTATATTCTCTCTCGACCTGCGATTAACTTATAATAATTGAGATATAAAAATAATGCATCCAGCATGCAGTAGTTTATTGGTATCCATTCATTATTCATTGAACTTTGTTTGTCTTTAAATTCAACGACGATTTTGTTTTAAGATAATATGAGCAAAAATTTATGAAAACATAATTTACTTGTATAGAATCTTGACTTGCTATCGGGAGAGTATTTGAAGCACGATGAGAATGTCTTGTACTAATTGATTGTATTTGTAATGATGAATTCATCGGAAATGAATTCGACGATGTTGGAGAATGTATTAATGATTGTAATCGTCTATGTGTTATATTTTTTGATAGCTGTGTCGAAGGAATAACGGATAATGCTGATGAGTAAATATTCTTTGGTGATATTGTTGTTGCTATTTGAGATGCACAACCAGAATCAGGAATAATAGTTGGAAGCGAAATATTTGTATTTAATGGTGATGAGATGAAAAAAGAGTCTGTTGAGATAGATGATTGTGTTATTTGATTATGTTCGTCTTGTTCGATTGGTTCTGACTTCATAGTAGGTGTTTCAACTGATGTTGTTCTTGTTAATGATTGCTTTTGTTGTGTTGTAATACTATCACGTATTTCAGATGGAATACTTTTAAAACTATTCACACTAGATAAAGACGAAAAAAAGCAAGAGACTGATACAAAGAATAAGATAGATATTGAAATATACTTTGATGGACTAACTGATAATGGTCTTAATGGTATGAATGGTAATAATGAAGAAAAAGATTCATCCAATGATGAACATGTGATAAAATCTGAGTTCATATTTTTAGGAATAATATGATGTTGTGAATTAGATTTTCGAGATTTTTTTGTTCTTATATGTTCTTCAGGTAAATGAAGTTGTTCTGACTTCTGAGGTTTTATAGGTAATATATTCACATTTGTATGAACTTCTGATATGGATTCGAATGCTTCAACAGAATTGAGTAAGGCATCCATTGATGATCTGACATCAAATGTAATAACATTGTTTATTGGTGTTTTACAATTAATATATTTTCGTAATAATGCTTGAATTCGTAATTTATTATCTGTAGGAGAAATAGATCGAAATTTAAATGGAATTGATGATATTCTAAAAAAAGATATTTGTATTAAGAAAAAAAGACTAAACAATTAAAAACTAATTTTTAAGTTTTTACTCATTATCATTTTTTGTCTGATTCAATATATCAAATACATTTAATGTTGATTGTAATTCATTATCTTCTTTTGAAAAATGATTTTCATCTATAGGTTTAAATGAAGTTCGTAGACGTTTAACATTTTGCTGATGTTCATATGAATTTTCATTAGAACGTTTAATGGATTTTTTTTTATTTGATGCAGATGATGAATTTCGAGTATAAAAACGCTGTTGTTTTGCATGTTTAATAGATGAATGAAATGTATGATTGCTATTTGTAACTGTTATATAAGAAGGTAAAATAGAATCTAAAGAGAGCAGAAAATTTTACAGCTTAAAAAAACAAGAATTAATAAACAAATGTTTAGAAGACTTTCGATAAAGATAAATTACACATCAGAGCTGCTAGGCTGGCTCATACATTTCAGAAATCAAATGTTCATCTCTTCGTTGTATATCTAATCATATATGGTGTTTTGCTATCATGATTAGGTGTTTTTGATTATGTGAAACAGTACTGATATAATCAAAAATATTTCATCTGTCCAAACCTTCCTTGCATGAAAACTATTTTTGCTAATCTTATCTTTATGGAAATAAATGCAAAATGAATAACTGAAATTAGAATGATACATGAAAGCAGATTTAAAGAATTAAATGTATTCGAAAAATAGGAAATATCAATTGGTCTACTGGCAGCTCTGCTACAAATTTTTTTTCATCATGAAATTAAACTACAGTAAACCTTCTCTATTGTGAACATCATGAAAATCATTAACAGAAAAGCGTTCACTATACGGAAATGTTCAGCTAGTTTCCTGAATATCTGCGTCTATATTAGTCTCAACTAAAGGTCTAGTTATTTAATCTCTTGTTCATTTAAATAGTTTGAATTGAACGGTTATTTAACTACAACACACTATTTTATTTGTTTTTGAATTAACATCAACATCAATTAATTTTGATTCGAATTCAGTAATTATTTCCATCTTTTTTTTTTGCAAACAAAGCTCGTGTATGGATATTACTATTTTCTTCATATGTACAATAGTGAGTTCATAGATATAGTATACTGAGCCGTAATACTCTTGAGTGGAGCTCTTTGGGTTCGGTTCCAGATATTTTAGGATCCAACGAGCTCTATTCATGAGATAGGTGATAGGCAGTAGCAAGAAGTAAAAAAACATTATACGTATCTTCCCAAATTAGGGTGGTTATAATCAAGAGAAACCGAAAGAAAGCTTAACTTAAATGAAAACATTGTTCATAAAGGATGAACTAAATCTGATGTTTTTTTGTCTTCTATAGCAACCCGTATTTTCTATTTGTTAGAGTCTAAAATCGAAGACAATTTATCTTCTTCGTTTTTAGTCTTTTTTGAAAACCATGTTAAACAAAAAACATTCCTACCATCGATAATTGAAACAAATTTGAATGGCTTTGTTTTACTTAATAATGTTTGTGGAGGTGCATATGTAAAATACCCATAAAGTTTTTTTAATTGATCAATATGAATTTGTAACTCAGTAAAACTTTTTTCAAAATTAGTATTGGATTTTTTCTTTTCAGAACCTGGATATTCTTTTGATAGAACAAAACAATTATGAAGTGGTATCCATGCTCTATAGAAAGAAAAAGTAATATGATTTACATAATTTTTATTCTACATCTATATACCGATCATGTTGGCCAAAAAAACGAACATCAACTTCATCATTAACAATACGTAAAACTTTCGCTGGCCATGGTTGATAACTTTTCATTTTCGCCCAACATAATGTATGTGGAATAGAACATGGTCTGGTAAACCAATCTGTTGATATAGATTGTGTACTACGTAAATAACATTCAGAACAAAGTTCAATTTCTTTCATTTCATGACGAGCAATTCTAAGAAATGTACGTGCAATATTAGTTAATTTACTTTGATCTAAATATAATAAGATTTTATTATTACTGCCGTTGATTTTCAAAGATTATACTTACTTCCATTATAAATAATACTATTATGTACAATCCATTTAATATCATTGATAAATTCCTCAGTTGAACGATATTTTTTTAGATTGATATTTTTTTCTATCGTTTCTAAATCCATCGGATGAATGATATAATCAAGATACTCCGGGATTTGTTTGCAATCGATTAATCGCATAAAATGTTTAGCCTCGAATAGAAGTCAAATATAGGTTAATTTTACTAACTATAAGTTGTTCTTTTACTAACTTGAGGATGTGATTGCAATCGACCAAGAGCATATCTCAGCATCCTATGAAATTCATTTATTGAATGATGTTGTCGTGGTGTTGATTGATTTATGATATAAAACGATGATTGAGTAACCTAGAAGACGTATTGAAATTTTTTTCAGAATTTATTTAAAAAAAAAGAAACGAAAAGACAAAATAAATTGAACATCTCAGTCGATCTATTTATTGATAAACTATTCATGGATTGTTATATTTAACAGAATAAAAGATTTTCATTTGCCTTGATTATTCAAAGAAATAGAAACAAAGCAATAATTAAAACTAAAAAACATACTTCACATTCAGGACATATCCAATCTTTCTTCTCAGGTAAAACAGCTAAACCAAGACATGCTGAATGATATACACGTGGACATGAGTCACAGCTAATAACATCTCCTACATGATGACATTCAAAACAATAAATATCATGACGATTATTCTAAAATAAAATTCAAATAAATATAAATATATCAATGAACCCTTTTCTCTAACTTCATCTGTTGTTTCTTTTAATTTATCACGTGAAATAGAATTCTTTTGTAAATCCATAAGAATTATTGGTTTTTTATTTTTATCTAAAAGTGTAATCATTTTAAGTAAAAAAGAAAAAGATATCATTAATATATTTAATTAATCAGCAAATTTTTTTTTCATGTGAAATACTTTTACATAACAATATATTGGGTGTCTTTTTTCGAGTGATTATTGTTCTGTCGGATTGAATAGGGATAGGAACGGATACATTCTTGCCTACATTGTTTCGTTGTGTTGCCTTGTCCACGTTCGTATAAAGAATGACAAAAAGTCGTGCCTCGTATGCGCCTTTGGGGTAAACAGCAAAAATGAAGAAAGAACGAAAAAAAACGTGTCAGTATGAAACAGAATTAAGCGTTACACTTAGATACACATGAAGAAAATTTAAATAAATATTTATGAGTTTTAGTTTTATAATGAATCGATCGAAAAACTAAAATGGACAGTATTTTTATTTGGTTTATGAGTAGCAATATTTCTTTAGCAATTATGTCACTAACATATTCTAATAACGAAACATATCACTAGCTAATGATGACTTAAATATCGTGAAATTACTCGTATGACACATATTAATCACGCCGCATTTTTTCATAATCACGTAATAATCTCATAGATTTGCACCCATACTTTTCTTTTTGAAATTAATCGAAGCTATTTCTTCAAGACACAAACAATATTAGTGATGGAACCAACAGGGAAGGGAGATAAGGGGTCTGAGCTCTCTATCGAAGTTTTTGAGCACTCCTACCAGTTGAAGTCACACCAACTTAACTCTGCACAGGTCCCTCTAAGCTAGACTCTCCTCCCTCACTGTTAACTCATTATGATTTTATTGATATGAGAAAGGATTGTTTAGCGCTAATATTCACAGTCAATGCATATTTTTCATTTTTGTGTTGACGAAGAAAAAAGGTAAGAAAGTTACATTAGATTTCAGATAGAACGTTTGTAGTCAATCATCATTTATATTTCGTTTCATATTTAAATAGCAATGAATTTTTAAAACTATTTCAAGCAAAATTCTATGCATTTAATATCTATTACCGGTTTTGATAAAATTTATATGAAACATATAGATGATATTCAAGTTTGATACACTAAAAAAGCAATGAATTTTAAAATGGTGTGATACGAATATATTAAAACTGGCTATATTGCATTTACTGAAGAAACAATTGACGAGATTGATATTGACTTCGGTGAAACGTGAGAAAGAACAAGCGTTTCTAATGTAATATAGAACGATTTGTTGTAGAAGTTTAACAAAAATTTCATCTGCATAAACATACTATAAAATATGTTTATAAATATTTCAACTAAGAACCCATGTCATGAAAATCGAGCAAAACTCGGCGATTTTGTCACAGTTTACTAGCTCGATCAATCATGAAATTATATCGCGATTATTCAAGTACAAGGAGGTCCTTAAATAGCACTACGATAAAAAATGAAATATCCCTGCATTGGTTCAATTAATTGGACTGATTTTCAAGTTAATGGCAGACGTTCATTCAAAATTATTTTTTCATATAGATAAGGTAAGCAAATACTACTCCTAAGTATTATTATTGGTTTCATGACGGTAATATTACCTGTCATCAAGTAAAAAATTGCATGCGTAGTGTTTCATAAATTATTTTCGATTGTCATATAAAAGAACAATGAGAACAAGTCAAAATGAACTTTGTGAATGATTTTGTATTGATTCACATAGACCAAATTTCAAAACTACTTTCTTTAAAAGTCAACGGTTAGAAAATTTCGAATTTTCAAACATAGTACATTGGTTTTTGTAAGAAATTTGGTGCTTTGGTACTCAAAAAGCTGCAACCGCATGTTTTATTTGTGGGACACGAATTTCAGAAGTTGAACTGACTAGTTTTGACTACTTGCTCTATGTGTGTATTCAATACAGAATCATTCATGAAGTTCGTTTTGAGTGGTTCTTGTTGTTCTCTTAGACAGCAACTGAAAATTATCTATGAAAGCCTACATATCTACTTTTTTTTAACTTGATAACAAGTAAAATTGCTTTCATGAAACCAACAATGATACTTAACAACAGTATTTGCTTACCTTTTCCGCATGAAATAAAAACATTAAATGAGCTTTTACTCACACTACAATACTGCAGATGATCATACCTGGTCAGAGTATTTGAATCTACGACTAGGGCTACGTTTCAACGTGTATACTTCCGTCTTGTACTATCGTGATCATACATGTTTCTGGTGAATGTTTTGAAATCTGTTAAAACTAACAGAACTGAGTTGCTTTCTGAATGCTACGATAATGTTGATGCGTCTGAGCCGCCTATATTAGCCACAGAGCCCAAGTCGATCTCAGTTATGAGATAAATTTTTATTATAGATAGCGCTGCAAGAGTTTTTCTTAGTAAAATATATTCTAAAACTAATTTCGTCCCGACTAATTTGAATTCATTCTGATAAATAATTCGAAAGTGCACAGAGAATACTCTGCCAGGTCGATGATTCCGGCGCCCGAATCCGTGATATTTCGACGGCACTTCGCAGAAAGAGACCGTTTCCTACAGGAAAATAATAGAGACTTGGACGCAGGAATCTGGTGATTGTATCCGGTTCCTAGCTTTACCCTGTTTCGGTCGAAACTGGATCAATCCCGCCACCGGGTCCACGCAACGGATTTCTGTTTTCAAGTTCTTACTATTTTCCCGCATTTTTTGGCCAGATCCGGCTATGCCTCATTCACCTGAGCTGCAATCATTTATAGTCGGAACTGAAAGTTGTGAGTACTATCACCAGTTCTTATGAGTATTGCAGTATATCGATGATAAAGCGAAAAATCTACGATATAGATGATTAGATAAGCTACGCAGAAGAAAAAAACTAAGTAGTTATTCCTATATAATAATATGTACTGTTGAAATTGATTTGAAAATCGTTGATTAGTCTCCAAAAGCGGCCCAATTTTGATGACATGGGAAGATTGGATCAAAATTACAATAAAGAATATCTATTCTCTCCTTTTTGTTATTTTACAACAAACCTAATTCGATAAAGTGTTCACTTTGGAAGAAATCGGTTGCAGCACATTTGGATTTGAATTTGGAGATATATATATATTTGAAAGTCAAGTTTTAAATAAAAGAAACTTCTCTATGAACAAAATATTTAATAATCAATGTTTAACTTAGAAGTAAACGTATGTATTGTTTTCCTATTGGATTATCTTAATACGCGGATTGATTTAAAGAGTTCATGCATATTTTCTCTGATATAAAATATATGCATATTTTGCTCACAATTTTGATTTTTACACAATGGAATCAAGACGAAGTTTCAAAATAGTATGATTGATTCAAGGAATAAGTCGATGGCCATCTGATACATTTACAGTCTTTATACACTGTCATTGACAGTGTTCTTCTCAAATACCATATGAAGTATGATGAAAAAAGAAAACGAAAAGATTATCGCCTAGACTTATCAAAATGTAGTGATGAAGCACAAAAGTCAGAAAAATCGAAATATATTTAAAGTAAATTTTTCCTTTTTGTATTTTCTTGCCTAATTTTCTAAATAAGTTTCCAAAAGTATCGTTATTCTGTTTAGGGATGCACGGTTCCGATTCCTAAGAACCGATGGAACCAGTCGGAACCGAAATAAGACCCGTTTGGAACCGGTCGGAACCGGAAATGGAACCAATTGGAACCGGTTAGAATTGGAACTAGAACCGGTCGGAATCGATTGGAACCGATCGGAACCGGTGGGAACCGACATTGAAACCGGTTGGAACAGGAACCGATCGAAACAGGTTGAAATCGAAACCGGTCAGAACCGGTAAAAACCGGTAAGAACCGNTTTAGGTAATCGCCTGCGCGTTTCATGAGATATATGAGTCATTTATGGAAGAGTCCTAAAACTCGGATTCGGATATTTCTAAATATCGTTGAAATGATCTAGCTGGTATGTATCCCTCTTAACATTATGGATCATGTATTTCATTTGCGATGATTTGTATTCGCTGCTAACACACTCTAAACATTTCTCAGACAACATTGACACCAATCTAGTAGGAATTAGGTTTTAATCAGTTCTAACTTTTAGAGTTGTGTTTGTCAGCACGGTTCCAGATTCGGATCCAGTCGAGTCTTGATCGTTACTCGGCAGACTCTACTGTAGATCTACTATACTCAGATCTTACAATATTTTTATTGGTTTAACTATACCTCTTTTTTTTTATGAAACATAACCTAAAAGAAATAATATGTGAAATACTGTCTTATTGCTTTTTTGAAAGACTACGAAAGTGATGGTGAAGAAATGTGTCCCAAAATAGATAGAATAAAGCGATTTTTCAGTATTTATCAATAGAAACTACATCATGTTTCACATTTTGTTCTTGCAGGCATTGCACTAACAACTTTTTTTTAAGTAATTGAAAATGGCCACAATCAAAAAAATACTCAAAGTCGAGCCGAACTCGTTCAACCTGAAAGTTCTGGTTCGTTGCATGCCTTTATGCTATGAATGCTTCTATATAAGATAGTCATTTTTTATTTTGTTTAACATAATTTATCGTTATGAAAATAAACTAAACGACATTGATGTAATTACTTTAGCAACTTGAAAATTTTTCAGACGTTGTAAAAATTTCTCTACTGGTCCAATAGTATTTTTTGCTTCAGTCCATGTTCGTTGACTTTCAGGAATAATTCGATTTTCATCAACCCATTTAAAAAGTACAACTAAAATACAAAATATTTTTATAAGTATTTCAAAAGCTATTCATTTTCTTTTCAACTTACCAACCATATTCATTACAAATTTAACAGTTTCTGGTGGTGATGCAAAAGATTTCAATTCCGTTAATTGTCCTTTTTCAATATTCTCAAGTGCCAATTTTGCTGCTTCGAGTACAGGTTCAGCTTTAGCTCTGTATTAATTCAAATAAAAGAATTTTTTTTATTTTAATATTTCAATCAAACATACAATTCCATTGCACATGCAGCTTGTACTTTTTCAACAGCTGCTTTTTTTGTTTCAATTTTTCGACGTTCATCATCAGCAAATGACTAGATTTAATATGTATAGAAAAAAAAAGAAATCTTCTGCTTTCTTTTGAATATATCATTAATCAAACTTTTTCTTTTGCAACTTTATCTGCTTCAGCTGTAACTATTTTCAATGCAATTTCTGCTTTTTCTGCTTTTATATTCACTTCATCTGTTGTAATTTTTAAATCTTCTTGTAAAATAGCAGTTTGTGCAGATATTGAACCAAGCTTTTCTAATCCAGCTAAAATTCGAACAATTTCAAGTTCAATTTTCATTTGTTTATTTTCATAAATATGTTGAAAAAATTTTATATATTCAAGAAATGTTTTCGATGTTGTATAATAAGATCGTCTTTCATTTGTAAAATATTGTATTGATGTTTGATTTACATCAATATGTATATCAGCCATAAAATTAGCTATAGCATGACGTATTTCATTAGATAATAATTTATTATCATCAAGAAAACGAACAACAACTGAATAAAGTGCATTCCTTGGCCATGAATGAAACCAATCAATAATTGTTCCACTGAATAATGCTGGAAAACGACGTGAACGTATACGTAATATATTTCCAACAGGTGAAAAACACATAACTATTTTAAGATTTCGTCGTACTTTATCAATAAAATATTTCCATATATTTTCTTTTGATTCATTATAACCTTGTGATTTAGCTTCAGATCGTAGAGAATTAAGAATTTCTTCAACTTCATCATCAGTAAATAAACCAAATATTTCACCGGATGATAAATAATCATTTATATAAACAAGAAAATGTTCATCTATTATTTGTGCATCAGACAATAGAAATGCACACGGAAGACCTTTTACAGCAGCACGACGATAGAGATTATTTAGATCAGTTTTAAAATCATTTATTCCATAATTTGGTTTGATTGTTATTTGAAAGACATCAAGTGATGATGCAAAAGCTGCTAAACGAGCCAGAGATTGTTTTCCACTGCCACCAACACCAATTAACAATGCATTACCTAACGAAAATAGATTTATTATTAGATCTACAGAATCTTTCGGTGAAGTATTCATGGGCGTAAAAACGAAACTAATTCTAATACACATGAGTAACGTGTTTACAACAAAATGCGCTGGAATCAATCGGGACAAGGTAACGCATTAATTCATCTTCAGTCTCAACTCATCATTTCATCATTGAAGATTGCACCACGACTTGAGGTAACTAGTGTTATTTTGGAAGAAAAGTGAACAATGTCAAACCATGAAAACTTGTATGCTGTTTCAATGATGATAAATCATTTTTGGAATAAAAAAAACGTACCAAAATAATCAAAGAAGATCACTACAACTAATATTAGCTGTAGCTCTGAACAGACGACTAGAGCTGATGCAGAGTTCATGCGCTCAATTGCTTGAGATCTTCATGCATAGTAACGAGCCACAGGAGTAAGTGTATATCACAACGTAGACAGTATACTATTGGGCGGATAATCCTAAACAAACAACTGTTATTAGCTTGTTTAGGATCATTCTAAAGCTGCTGATACCAAAATTTGAACGTAGTATCTTGTAGATCGGTGTTGAAAAAAGTAGAACTATTAAATTATTTAGTCGATGATTGATGAAACGAACTTATTTTTACTCTAATACGATTTTCAGTGCCTATGAACCTTGATCTTTAGAAAATATATCACCAACATTAGAGATAAACTAGATCAGATCTGAGGAACTATTGAAAGTATTCTCTGATCTGAATATATCTGTTCGAGCAGTCCTTTGCTTATTTGATCTGAGCTTTGACCAGGGAGCAGGTCAACCTTTAATTAAGAGAGATGTAAATGTACGCTACCGAGTGGTTTATCCAATATAATAAAATTCGTTATTATTCAGTCATATCTCCTTGCAAAAGTAAGAAGATAATACTAATATTTCGAACAGTCTCATCTAAGAGCTTTGATCATGTTTTTCAACTATATCATACCTCGCGGTGATTCAAGTATACGATTAATACGTGCAACATGAATAAGAGCATCTTCAAATAATACTAAATTCATCGAAGGATTTGTTTCATTATATGATGCTAATGCATCTTCAATTACATGTTGTAATTTATCCATTGATGATATAGCTGTATATTGTCCATCACTCATTCCACCAGAGAAATGTGAATAAATAAGTGGTCGAATAAATGTTTCATCATTGACAAACTAATAAAAAATTTATTACTTAAATAAAAAATAATAAATAAATATAATACTTCAAAACTTTTTCGTATCGTTTCACGTAAAATTTTATTAAATAAATCAATATCATCTTGATTAATAAGTTTATCTGAATATGTTCTTTCAGCTTCATGCATATATAAACGTATCAAATCTTGTGAATTTAAAATATGTTTTGATGAAGCTAATAACATTCCCTAAAATAAAAATCAACTAATCATTAATATATGTAAAAGAAAAATGAGTTTAGGATAGTTGCTCGTTAAATCAGTTGAAAGATGGGCATTCAGACAATCAATATGAACATACCGTGTAAATTATCGTTAGAAACTAAATGAGCTTCATTGCCAGAAAAAGCGAACACTATTTACAATTAAGTAAATGAAAAAACATGTCATAACTGCAATAAGTGTCTGATAGGTTCCAATTGGTTATCGTTTCTTGGAATTAGTTTTTGACTGACGATGGAACCATTGCAAGTGATTCAGAGCTTTTGCACTGCTGTTTTCCCCATAAGTAGACTCCGTGACAGTGTAAAAAAGCTGATAGAATAAGGATCTATACATCTTTCTTTCCGAGTTATGAACATCTTAGTTATTTCGTCACTTATAAAGAGATATTCAATGAAAATTCAAAGAACATCATTTCGAACTGAAATGTTTTACATATATAGATCTCATGGTTCTTATAGCGAGTTAAATGTTACAATCAAAACGCATTCTTTTTTCTTGAGAGAGTGAACTTTCCAGAACAATTGATTTTTTTGATGTTGATACCGTTAGAATTCGACGATTCGAAGAAAACTGGAACTGAGAACTGCTAAATTCTCATATAGATATACAAATTCTAAAACCTATGTCGAGAAATCTTTTTTAAATTCGTGAGCTTAATGATTTCAGTACACATATATAATATTGTATTGTTTTAATACTGAAACATGTGACGTTCCAGGTAGTTTTCAGAAACGTTGAACTTTAGATATCATGCGAGGATTTTTTTGAGATCCAAGATCTCGAAAAAGAAGCATTTGTTTTGATTGCGACATTTAGTTCACTATAAGAATCATGAAATCTACGTGGAGAAAATTTCAGATCGAAATTCTATAATTTGAGGTTTCGATAAATCACTTGTTATAAGTGATAAATTTAGTAAAATGTTCCTAACTCGGCAAGAAAGATCTATGAATGTTTATCCTTTTAAACTTTTTCTAGACTTACTAAATCCTAATTTTGGGGAAAATATCAGCACAAAAGCTCAAAATCACTTGCACCAGTTCCCTCGTAAGTATTTTAGTTAATTTCTGAATGATTCATGTCTTCATTCAGGTCCATGTATGTCTAAGGTAATATATTAAACCACTAAATGTGAATAGCTTCTGTAAAAATCCCTGAATAAGTTGAGTGAATATTTTAGAAGGATTTCCACACATAATAATAGCCTTTGAATGTTCAAAGGAAATGAGCGACACGGCATTTTACATTATAATATGGATTTCCAGTTTAAAGCTAAACATTACATGACATTTGTGAATTTACCAATTCAGCAAAACAATTATTTTATTCGAAGTTTTCTGCGAAACAAACTTTGTAAGCAAATGTTCGTCCCTCTCTTCCCCTAAAACAACATACCTGAACAATATTTGATAAATCACGTAAGTTAAAAAAATAATGAAATTTAATTGCTGTGGGTAAAAATACACTTGAAACACGTTGATGAAATTGTATAACAACTGTAATAAATTGATTTAAAAAACTTGTCTGTGTTTTTAAATCAATTTTATTAATATTTGAAAATTTCATTTCAAGCATTTTCGAATAAATTGCATGGAGAGTATTCTAAAAGTATTACAAATTTATATTATATGTATATATATATATCTATTTAATTTAATAGTAAACTTTATTTGATAAAGGAACAGCAAATGTTGCAAAATGTCGTTGAAGACGAGCATCAATATTAAATGTTCCTGCATTTTGATTCATTGCAACAACAAATTGACAATTTCGAATTTCTTTAAGTGTGAATTTTTGTCGATCATACCAATGTTGATAATCCAGATATTCACGAACAATGGTATGGGCTTGAACAGTAAAATATTTATCACGTTCAGGCATATTGAAATCATCTATTAGTTCAATTAGAAGAAATACAAAGAAAAAGCTTTTAACACGATCTTTGTCAGATTAAAATGTGAAACACGACGAAATTATTAACATTGTAAAAGAAAGAATTCATTAACATACATTTTCGTTTGTGAAATCCTATCTAATGTTTAAGTATGTCATTGATTATTGTTGGACAATATAGTTAGTGTGAAAGAAGGACAAAGGACAACTATCTTAAATTCAAATATGTCTCATATAAAGTTCATCGAGCTTTAGTCGATATCCAATTCCAATACTAATCGCACAGTAGAATTTGATCTTGTAAGTTTACTTGTCATGGTTCACGCGAAAGAATCAGCAATACTTAGGTATCTGTCACGATCTGTACGAACGAGAGGAAGCACAGTATGCATTATTCGCATGGCAGATGGGCATACAACTTTCATTCTTGAAAACAGTTTTCTTTTGCTCAGAAGTGATTACATATCACTCAGAAAATCACTTTAAGAAAATAATGTATTGTCCAAGAAAAAAAAATACCTGACGGAAACCCTTGTTCCATACTTCATCGGATGTAGTTTGGCACGTTGATTCCAAATATACTATTTATATTCAATGGAAATGTTTTGAAAGAGAATAACATGCTGTATGGTCCAGAAGCGGTTATGCTAACAGTGTGATAAAGGATACAGAATAGAACATTGACAAAGTGCTAGCGGATTTAGATTGGTACTTAGGGGTGCGTATTCATTTTACTGAACTTTGTCACTCCGAAAACTAATAGTTTAGAAAATTTTGTTTCTCAAAAACTACATATTCAAACTAAAAGATTTTTTCGAGGATTGATAGCAGACAATAATCAGATTCGGAATATCTACTGAGTGCCTACCAAATGCTGTAATTTTGTCAAACAGTAATTTTCTCATCGATATTAGTGTTTCCAAGAGAATTTTTGAATTCCGGTTGTTTTACTCTAGTTGAAATTTGTAATAAAAGTTTTCGTGCAATTAGATAGTGCATGTTTCAAAGTATATTTATCATTTTTTCAATCTGTGACTTTCATTCTTTCACTTAATATCCCGCGGGATAGACAATGTGAGAGCACATTTCTATCTCTATACTTCAACACTCCTTTTCGATCATGTTTCAAAAAAGAAAGAGAAAAAGATCGAAATACCAATAAAATAAATCAATTGTCGATTTCCTGGTGCTCCATATGTTCGGCCAGCTTTTTTTTCTAAAGGTTTTTCAAATGAATTTTGTAACATTTCACTTGTTGTATAATCTATGAATTTAACAAAATAGAAAAAAAAATAGAATTAAACAAATAACACTTTATTAAAATTATACAATTGAGTGGAATTGTGGAAATCATAAAATTTTGTGAATTAAATTTTTCCAAACGATTTTTAATTATAACACTTTTACCCGTACCAGCTGAACCAACAAACATAACTGAAACACCTTTTTTTATAAGTGCTTCAAGCCAAAATGATAAACGAACTGTTTCATTCGTAGGTATTAATTGTGACTAGAAAATATTTTTCTTTTTATTAAATACAAAGAAGAAAGATAAATGAAGAAAAATACTTGAACTGGTAAATCAGGATCAAAATTAATTTCATCAACAAGTTTTGACCATGGTTCAAATCGTTTTGATTGTGGTTCAATTGAATAATCAAATACAGTTCCATGAGGTGGGAACTTAATACTTTTAAATTCATGAATAAACCATTTAGAAAATTCAATTCGATAATCAATCATTTGATCTTGAAAAAGTGAACCACCAATAGCCCATATAGTTGCCCAAACAAAATATAATTCCCACCATTCTTTTGGACAATCTGCTGGTAAATTTTGTGGTGTTAATAAACAATCTATAATAAAAAGAAAATAAGATCTCAATTATTATAATAGATGAATTTAATGGAAATATTTCGATCAAGAAAATAGTAGCCTAGAACGACTAATAAAATACTTCAATAAATTAAAGATATCAATCCTACAGAAAGATAAATTTTTTCATTTTTGTTTGAATATTAATTGATTTTTCATATTTATTATATCAAAATTATGATCGCTAAACTCTTTTATAAGATCCAATCTAATAGGGAAATAGTTGTATTAAATAGTTTTTAGAATAAAATCTCACAACTACAGCTGATGTCTCGTATGAGAACTTTTTTGAAATAAATTCGAGTTTGGATGAAAAAATATTGAAATCGATAAACTATATTCGTTAAAGTCATCTGAAAAGTGCGTATGAGCGATGGTCAGCATTGACTTGATTGAAAGAAAAACGAAAGTTTGGATAACTAATGTCGAAAAAGTCAAAAATTCGACTGTACGTTGTCTTATTTCAAAAGTTTTTACTTCATTCCAGAAAAAAGAAATATAGATCAAGGTTGAATATCAATACCACTGTGCACATGACATATCTGGTATAGTTTGGAGATGATATATTTCTTTTTTTTTGTAACAAGGACATCTAATATGAGTAGACAATTATCTGTATTTCCGATTGAAAAAGAGCTTCGGAACGAGAAAGGAATAATTGCCACTATATAGAAGACACTAATGAGCAAAGTTCTCAAACAGATTAATTCTTGTTCAGTCAGGACTCAGAGTATTATGTGGACTTGTATGAGCTATGAATACTTTGAGGAGAATTTAGTTCCTTAGTATATGCCTGTAGAGATCATGCATGTTTACTGTATTTTTAAAATAAACACTGTGGGCGTAGTCAGAAAGATCTGGTAAACTAGTTTTCGAAATTCGACTTTAAACTTTACACAGAGATAGAACTTATTGTAAAAGTTTCAGATCTGTTGATTCACTCGTATTCTCATATAACAACATCGAATCTACTGATGAATGTGAGCAATGTAAAAGACATGCTACTAAAATAGTCATATCCTTAAATAGGAACATCGAAAAGATCTGAATCATTCACAATAAACTATTCTATTAAAGCCGCACTCTAGACAAAGTTTCGAGTCGAAATTCGAAAAATTAGTTTTTACAATGTTCCTGAGGAAACCCACGGCATTGATCCAAAACATATCGCACAAATGCAGTATCTCTGCAGCAATAATCTAAGGGATCTAACTCTTTTCAAAGTATTCATAGGTCGTTAGAGCTTACATAATGCCCAGAGCCTCCACACAAAAGTGATTAATGAGTCGGAAGTAGAAATTATACATGAAAAAACTGTTCAATACTTGTTTCTTTTATTTATTTAGGCATCGGCTAGCACTTTTTGAATCATCTTCCTTGAATTATATTTTAATTGATATGATTTATAAGATAATTCGCTTAAAACTATAGAATATTTAACTATAATCTTCAGTTCCGATTGAGATTACTTTCTTCTCATAGTCTCGATCCCGTACATCTCTAGTTAGAAGACTTCTTTAGTAAGATGATAGAAGTAGAATAGAAAGTGAATCTCACTATTTGGAAAGCAACGAGATGTATTGAATTATCTTCTACGATAAGAAACACACTTGGATTCTATGTCCATCTATACTATTTTATCTTTTTGAAACTCACAAAAAAAAAAATCAATACGACTCAAAGATATACATGCTCAAAATAATAAATGATACTTATCTATCTATTCAAAAACTAGCATAATTGAATTCAATTTTTTTAGTAAAAAAAACAAACTAACCAAGAATATTGCATAGCATTTGTACATGACAAACATCAACTAATGGTGTAATTGTTTTTACACGTCCACTTTTAAGTAATTCCAAACAACGTGGTATATATTTATCAAATAATAATAATAATTGATTACGTTCACTAGTTGATTCACGTTGTTCAACCCAACTAACATAAACAGGTGAATATCCAATATCATTTGTTGATACATATAAAATTCCTGCACGAGATACTGTTGCTGGTGTAGCTGTTTTTAAATGACTTATTTCAAATAATAAACGCATTGTTTCATTAAGTGGAATCCGTTCGTTACTAGCTAATGTAAGGACTTTATTATCATCCATAACTGTATTTAGTGATTCAATCCACATTGGATCAATATCACCATCAAGGACAATCCATTTTGGTGCTAAAAAAAGAACTTGATATTTCAGTTTAAATTTAATGAGAAGTAATTATTTACAATCTGATGTCATATTAGCTAAATCTCGCATAATAGTTGAAAATAGACCGTCCTTCCATTCGTGAGTTTGTCGATGCATATAACCAAATAATTCATCATTAGTAACAGCTTTTGGATCAACTGAAAAGACAAAAAATAAATAAAATATATATTTTAATTCTACTTTTAAAATGATTTTACGATCAATAGCATGTGGTCGACGTTTTATATTTTGATAAGTTTTGTATAATGTTTTCCATATTTGTGTTTTACCTTAAACAGAATACAAAAACTAAATTTCATCTTAAGCCTTCTCTCCTCAAAAAAAAAGTGCATTTCTGTCAGAATTATCGAAATTAAGATAAATGTTTGGGAGGATGGACGGAAGTCGAATCTTTTACAAACAATTCGATTTTTGATTTAGAACGTCATTTTTTTTCAAAAACTTAAAATGATTTATGTCATCATCTACTTGATAAATATGCTTTCTTCAGGAAAAGCGAAAAATGTCTTTATAATTGTGCATCCCGAAATTCTCGGAGGAGACTTATTGTACTGAAGTGACTTTTTTTTTGAAAGAGTATGTATGACTGTAGTGGGTGATTTTTGAACAAAACTTTTTTGTTACTATCTACAAATGTACTTCTTTAAATAGGTAGCCATTTTTTGAGTTATTGATAGCTTGTCATTCTTTTTCTACGCATAAGAATTAAAAGTTTAAAATGAAGAGCTAACGAAACAAGGTCCCTAGACGATTGAAAGATGGTTATGGGGATCGATAGTCAAGAGGATCCTCCAAAGAATTCGTGCTAACATTACAATTTGGCCAAGATATTGATGTTTTAGTGAATTTTCTCTGAGAGGACTCAATTTTTCGACAAAGTCCTATATGTATAGCTCAGAAATACTCGATCGAAAACTTCTGTAATTTTGCGCATAAGCAAACCTCACTCAGATCTTCATCTGGACGGAGCTGTCAGACAAAAATTCGACAAAAGGATATTGTCGAAAAACTGGGTACAGATAGACAAAACTCACTAAAAAATCAATATCTCTGCCAAATCTTAAGATCAGTACGAACGCTTTAGAGTCTGATATAATTTTTAAGGTCTTCTACTACTGGGCTAAATATTCGTTTGAACGGTTTTAATCATTTTGGAAACTTCTCTTGTAAATGAAACTATAGACACTTTGCCAAAAGTTCTCTTCTATACAAAGTACTAAGTTGGTTTTTCCAGAATGCAGATTAAAGAGAAATAAAAGTTGAATTGACCTGCAGAAAAACAAAAAAAAAGCTCCAATACTAGATACTATTGAATAGCTTCTGTTCTATAAGCTGACATATAAATAAAGGTGTCAACATTTACTTTCGAATTACATTAATGAAAGTATAAAAAATGTACGAAAAACTTATCGATTGAAAATTATGAATCATCTCATTGTTTATAGAAACTTTCGCAATACCCGTTACGAATCAGTTTCATCTTCTGAATAGGACCTAAAATTCAATTTCTAATACCTGTTCCAGCATTTCCAATAATAAATACTGAATGTCGTACATCAAATATTTCTTTTAATTGAACAACTTTAAGTACAAAATTATTTTGTACAGTTGGACTTGCTTCTTCAGCTTGCAAATGAAGATCACTAGCAGCAGTTCGAACTTTATTTTCAAAATCTTGATCTCTATTATAAAATTACACAAACAAAAAAATGAATTAAATATTTATATACTATACCTTTTCCGTTCAACATCTAATGCTGGAAATAGATCTCCAATAAGATTAAGAAAAACTGGCATATCTTCAATAGTTATTTTTGGTATGTTAAAATCACGTAATGCTCTCATAAGTACTTTATCTTCACTCATATTAGGATCCGACCGTCTTAATGTTCCTGCTACAACAAGTACTGATTTAATTGCACGTAATCCCCAATCGTAATGTTCCTTTTAAAAAAAAATTACAAAAAAATTTTTTTTTTCTAAATCAAACTTGTTTTGATAATAAATTATGACATAATGTATATAATGTAACAAATTTTCTACTTAATAATCGTGCATCTGTAAATCCAGCTGATACAAGATTTAATTCAGCTAGATTAAAGAAAGAAATCAATATTTTATTGTTAATTGAATTTTTCTAGACAAACCAATTAATTCAAAATCTGGTACAACCATTGCACATGGCCTATTCATCAAAACAAAAAAAAAAGAATTAAATATTTCAAATTAATTCAAAATTTCCTACCGAAACAATGCTTTTAAATTTTCTGGCAATTCTGTTCGTCCAGCATAACCAGGATTCATTGTTATAAAAATTCCAACAGACGGATGAAGTTTTATTTCTGTATTCATAAAATTAAATAGTTTACGTTTAGCTCTTAATGCATCCTTTTCGAAATGAATCTTATAAATATGAATATTTTTTTCATCATATTTTTCCTTACAAAAATAAGTTTAACTTGAACTGCAACAACAGATAAAACTGCGATTGATATACGATTAAATCTAATTTAAATAAATTAAATATTATTAAAATAAAAGAAAGAAATAATAATATTTACTCATCAAAACATCCCCAACAACCACTGCAAAAAGAAACAATCAAAAAAATATGTATACAAATTTATAAGATAAATATTCGCACCTCATTGCTAATCCTTTAAATGTATTACCAATAGATTTATAATCAATTTGTTCTGAACAATTTGTAACAAAAACACAAACACCTAATGATCGACCAAGATCTATTTAAAAATTCAATTTTAATATAAATCTTTCCTAATAAAAACCATATGCTGTTCAACCTTTCGTTGTTTCAGTTTTTCCAGTTCCAGCCGGACCTAAACGAACTCAACATATGCATTAAATAGATCTAATCTAATGATTCTACATACCAGCTGGAGCTCCACCAACATATAAATGCAATGATTGTGTTAACGTTATATAACACCTAAAGACAATATAATTTTCTCATCGACAGAACACGCAAAAAAAAATAGTGTCAGCAGTGGGAGTCGAACCCACGCCAGCATACGCTGACCAGAACACTCGACCTCACTGAGGAAGCATTACGCTTGAGTCTGGCGCCTTAGACCACTCGGCCATACTGACGACAAGAGTATTCGATTTTTAGTTCGATTTAATTTTATGAGGATTCAATAGAAACAAAAAAAAATAGTGTCAGCAGTGGGAGTCGAACCCACGCCAGCATACGCTGACCAGAACACTCAACCTCACTGAGGAAGCATTACGCTTGAGTCTGGCGCCTTAGACCACTCGGCCATACTGACGACAAGAGTATTTGATTTTTAGTTCGATTTAACTTTATGAGGATTAAATAGCAGCTAAAAAAAAATTTATCAACAGTTATAAAAATGTAATGAAAAATGTTTCAACATTTACAAAATAATAATTTCACTTTAGTGAATTTGTTTTTAATTACTCCTTTTTTAGGCTAGTCGAATAACATAAATAATTAAACTTTTTTTAATTAATTAAAATTGCGCTCTATACCAATATATATAATTGTATCTACAATGAGTAATTCTGCTTTTTTTAAATTTTTTATTATCTACGTCAGTCAAGACACATGTGTAATTGCGTCATCGCCTTTCGATTCGAAAGGAACGATTGATTGAGTCATCATTTTATTTTTTGCATTTATTATTCATTGTGAATGTAAATGATCTTTTCAAGAATTTAGAGTTTTTAACAACGAGCATTAACATGAATGGAAAAATAACTACACAAATTATCTTTATCAATTCATGTATTTATGAGATGACATAGTATTGTAGGGAATATATTCTGAAAGATAAGTTTGTCTGAATATTAATTCATCGAGAAAAACTTGTAGTGTTGGAAAAATAGTAAGTGAATTAATATTTATAAAGTACTTTGAGCATACCAAAAGTAGTGGCAGAAGTATTTCAATTTCTTTTATAATTCAACTAATATCATAATAATAAAATTACGATAAGAGCTGTTTGTTATAGTGCGTGCCGCTAATGATTACACGCTGTCTTTGATGTATATCTTTTTCTTGATGTTCTCTTTGTTCTAATGCCTAATCGTCAATACATACGAGGAATATACAAAAGGTTATGTTAGTAGAATAAAAAAGAAGTACAATAATAATTTCATCAAGCTTTTATTTTTATTTAATATAATATTCGAAATATCTTCATCGTTATTCATACTCAATTGTATTCGTTAAGTCTATTTATCGAACATTTTTTTTTATACCCTTCTTTATTTAGAGAATGCATGAAATTGTTCACAACACAAAACAACCATTAGAAATCATTTTGATCGCTTATATTTTGTTTCATTAAGTTGAATAATAAAAAATCACAAGATGCCACATTCGAGGAACTACTTAAGTATACACTTGATGAAACTTTTTCCTGTATTTCTTTTTTTTTTGTTCTACCGTCACTACTTTTTCTATACTCTAATATGTATATGGATGACTAGGCATTAGAACAAAGAGAACATCAAGAAAAGGAAACATATTAAAGACAACATGTGATCATTAGCAGCACATGTCATAATAAACAGCTTCTATCGAAATTTTCTTATTATGATATTAGTTGAATTATAGAAGGAATTAAAATACTTTCGCCACTACTTTTCCCATGCCCTAAGTGTATACTTTATTAAAGATATTCGTTGAGCATCTATATATGAAGCATACAGTAAAGGTCGAGAAATAAGTATAAAGTATCATTACTTTTGAACTCAATTAAAATTATTAATACTTTCGGTTCTTTAACTTGTATTCTTAAGATCTCCCTTGCCGGAGTTTCTAAAGAAATATTTGACACTGTCAGGCTAGATAGATCTAGACGAATAGAACAAAAGTTGTTATAAACTCCAAATTTTCAAACACTTCCTTCTTTAAAAAAATCTGGACCGAAAAGATAAAAAAAAACGGTCCTGCTTTCTCAGATACAATAAGTTCGACAGAGTTGGAATTTATTTACAGATACTAGACACTGTTTGAAATGTTTAATTTTTCTTTTAGTTTATTTTTATGCTCTTCCATTCGAATAAAAAGATCAGTATATTGAACGTGTCTCCAAAAATACTTGTTTTTTTTTACTGGATTTTCTCGTGTAAAATCTGTCAGAAATCAACGATGCAATGTTGTTCAGAACAAAAAAACGTAGGCATCTTAAACAGTGTCCAATACCTGTAAAAAAAGTGCCAGCTTGATCGAGCGTCCTATGCTAGAGCAACGAGGATGGTTCTGCACTATGTTTTGTGTAAATATTGACTTGTAGAAAAACGAAAAACAAATTTTCCTTTATGTATTACGACTTCTTCTCTCTAATTAAATCTATATACTATGAAATAGTCTAGCAAAAAATTCGAATAGGAAAATCGTAAGTGTAATGCCATTGCTTATGCATACTTTGATGTAGAAAACTAACAGATTATAATACATTACCTATCTGTTAATGGTGTAATTACCAATCGACTCTTATTGCCTAAATATCTAAATATCATAAAAGATTTCAATAGAGTTAATGTCTGTTCAAAAATATGATGGCCGTCGATGTTTTCACAAGAACTCAAGAATGGAAAGAGCTAGAGCGCTACGGTTTTTCGTCATTCAAGATAGAAGACTCAAGAGCCATAAAATGCAAAAACATCCACGGTCATTTGATTTCTGAAGAACTGTTAGTTAAATCGTGTATAAACTCACTCATATTGATATTTAAATCTAGCGTCACATATGTTTGCATAACAATTATTATCTTTTGAATCCCATCTATGTCTTAATTGTGATTGCCAAGTAAATTCATTACTATTTTCAATCTAAATGAATAAGTAAAAAGAAAAATTTTTTCTAAATCATATTTTTACTTTAAGATTAAGCATTTTTGAAATAACATCACGTGCATGAAGATCAATAAGACAAAGTGTTGTTATTTTTTCACGATCTTGGTCATTTAAATAACTCAATAATAAATTAATAAGTGAATTAAGTTGCAATATTTGTTTTTTATTGTATTCACGTAATGCATTTGAAAAGCCTTCTTCCATTCTAGCAAATGTTCCATTAACATCTGTTGTCCACCTGAAAGTTGATTCATTAAAAATTATTTATTTACCAAATGAATTTTACAACAAACCATATTTGACTCGCAGTAAGAATTATTTGAGCTGGATAATCAAATATCCATTCTTCTCGAGGTTTATCCTATTATTTGTAATCAATTTATTATTAGTAGCACAATATTTTTCAAAAGTTGATTTAAGAAAAGGAAGATTTGGTTTTTTTTTGAACAACTTAAATGATTGTTTGATACTCTTCAGAAAATTTTCATTGAAGAGTAAATGTAGAGTTATAGATGATATATGGCTAAAATTTTATGACATAGCAATTTTCTGATCTAGTGTCCAAAATGCTGCGCAAGTTGTTCGAGAGGAATTCTTCAAAAAGTCAAACTAGTCATGTGCCGAGCCTGAATTTCTAATCTGTTCCTTCTTTCGGTCGATGCTTACACGGAAAACATCTAGACTGATACCTGCTATGTGGACCTACAAGGATGTCTTGGTGAGTGTACAAGTGTTCGTCCCTATGATCTTTGGAGCCGAGTTAGGATCATTTTACTGCATCATCCATTTAGTTTTAGGAATTTGTCGGAAAACCAAGTAACGAAATTTCGATCTGAAATGTTATCCATAGATATGTCTAATGATCCTTATAATATTCCAAAAACTTCAGCCAAAAAGAATGCTTTTTTTCTTTAATATTGACTTTTTATATCAACTCAATTTTTGTGTGTGGTTGTGGGTTGTAGTCTTCTCTTTGTCCACACGCATACCCTGCAAACTTTTAAAACATTCAATCTTTAGTTACATACTTCATAAGTAGTTACAGCTACTCTAAGCCAATTTCTGATTGTTTCACAATGAAAATCTAATAAACGTAATAACCAAATTTCTACTGCTCCCTCAAGATTGCAATCATTAAAAAATTTCACATGTTCACCATCATCCGAATACACTAAAATCAAAATAAAATATTCAAAAAATAATTTTGTTTTTTCAAAACCTTACTAGCATATGCCATTTTAAGTTTATTACCGTTTGTATCTTCACGTAAATCTAATTTATTTAAACTATCAAATACTTTTTTTAATAATCGCATAACTTTTTCTGGTTCATTTCCATTAGATAAAAATTCAAGTAATTCCGAACCAGATACAAAGAAAAATCTGAATTAATAAAATCAAAATGATTGTTTACTTTTGCTTTTAACTCACCGTGGAAATGCAAGTCTTTTGATTTCTATTTAAACAAAATTAAAATAATCAATAAAGAAAAAATGATCAAAGAATAGGATTTCGCGGAAAATGCAGAAAAGAAAAATGCTGAAATTCAGGATATCAAATTAGGAAAAAATGAGAGGACATAGTGAATTTTAATTTCTGTACAACATTCTATAATCGATAATACAAGTTGAGGAATACTGCTGCAATCGTCTAGAATAAATGTCGATGATGTATAGTTAAAATTCATTTTTACATATTCAATTGAATGAATAGGTTCTCTAGTTTGGCATTGAGTTGGATAAAACGGTTCACTCTATTATAAAAAGCGTATAGAAATTATATCTATATTTTTTGGGTTAGGTTAGATCTAGAGATCTGTGTAATTATGAATTGTAGTCATGATCACGAATATTCTTGGAATGAGAGATGTGCCGAGCCAAGTTGTTTTTAATCCTGGTCTCGGTTTAGTCCTGATAACTTATTTTCTTGTGGTTTCACTGATTTCTAACAGTAGTATCTCCCAAATAACCCTATTCAAGGATGCTTATCGTCTAAATCGCCTACTCATTTTCGATTAAATATGATCCCAAAGACGACGAACGATCAATCGAAGGTTTTTCTGCGAAACTGGAAAGAAACCATCAAAAAAATACACGTCGCAACTCTTTAGTTGAGTCAAAAAGTTTATTACTACTACTAGTAGGAAAGCATATAAGATGGATATGAGTTCCCTCATCAAGCCTGATCCAAGGCAATCCAAAACCGTACACATAATTTTATATTCTTTTTATTACTAAAATCAATCTCATGCACTAATGTCTCAAAGCATTAAGCTAAGTTTTCACGAAATTTTTCTCATACTCATTGTAATTGAATTTCCTAGAAATAGGAACTTATCATCTTATGAAAAGTGATGGTAAGAACTTGAGAATAAGAGTGAGTGTGAAGAGAAGACTCTTACTCTTTACCAACTCTCACTCATATGTTTAGAATGAATGATTATGAACGATTCAAATGATGGAATCGAATCACTCATACAACAGCCAATTAGAGATATATACGGTAACCTTTTTACGTACTCTATACCCTAACTGGCAATGGAAGATTTTCTAATGTTAATAAAGCATATTAGACATATGTCGGTTGAATGAACACTTTTACTATCAAACTAACAAATTTAAAATAGGAGTCGTCCATGACGTATAACGAATGAGAGGGTGGAGTTTTTATGTATTTACAGTATATAGAATTCTCAGGAGTGATAATTTCAACACTATCAATTTTGTCGTTTCATTATAGTTGAATAAAGCTCATCGAATTAGAGAAAAGGTTTGTTTCAAACTTGTCATCACGCAAAAAACAAAAAATAAATAGTGCTTAGAATTTTGATTTGTGAGCATCCTACATATTAAGTAAATACCTAAAAATGCATCATTCTTCCTTGTCACACTCCGTGAGCAATTCATATTACAAATTTGTTAATTTGGTAGTGAGAGCCTTAATTTGCTAGCCTGTACATTTCTACAGTTAATATCAATGACGAAGTAAAGCGAACCATTCTAAGCTTTTTATATTTCTTTTCTGCGTTTTCCATCAATCGGATAGAATTTACCTAAATAATCTTCTAATGCTTTTTGACATATTTGTAAATTATCTTTCATTTTTTCCAATCGATCATACAGACCCGGACGATTTGTACAACGAATAAAATTTAAATCAGTTTCATTTTCTTTTGCTATTATCTATAAAATTCTTGGTATATTTAATTCATACAAAAGAAATAATTCAATAAACTTTAAATTCTTTATCGATTCTATGAAAAGCTTCTGTTTCTTCTGGTAATTGTATTCGAATATCATCAGTGCCAATAAAAATTGCTTCTAAATTCGACCATGTACGTTGTACATCAGTTAATAATTGTATAACCATATCAGCTGTTGACATTTGACTTTTCCATGCAATAACATTATCAATAAAATGTGAAATAAATTTTGATGAAAGTAATGTTTGTAATTGTGTTTGATGTTCATCTAATGCAACAAGTATATCATCATCAATTGAAACAAATGTTACATTTGTTCGTGGATGTTTTTCAATATGAAAATTCATATTTGACCTTAGCAAATTATTTTTAATTATTAAAAAAAAACACGCTTTTTTAAACACGAAAAATTACCAAGTATTTTCAAGATCATGTAAAATTTTTTCCATTCCTTGTTCTTTATCTGCTTTATCAACAATATTTTTAACCTAAAGAGTTCTTTTTTTCTAATAAAAATTAATAAAGAAAATGAAATTGAAAACCTCTTCTTCATATTTATGTAAATTAAGAACAAGTAAATCTTGTAGACTAGTTTCATTTGTCATATGAATTTGAACACCTGTTTCTTTCATTAGTTCTTCCCAATGACGTGATCTTATGGCATTATTACGAAATTCTCCAACGGAACGTAATGATGCAACAAGATTTTTAACATCTTTTTCAATTCCATGATAAGCATTCCATTGATTACATTCTTTAGCAAGTAAACGTAATTCTTTATTTAAATATGTTTGTCGTAATTCTTGATCAATTAATTCAATATTCACTTGTTTCCATGGAGTTTTTGTCCATTCATCAATACGTGAACGTATTAAATAAATTAAATCCCATAATTGTTTTAATGGACGCATTTCTTTACGACATAATTTTACACTATGAAAAAATATTTCTTTCCTTTGTTTATTATAAAAATAAATTTTAATAATTACGTTTTATATTCAGGAATATTGATATCAAATATACTAGCAAGATCAGTTAATTGTTGAACTTCTTGATCGAATTTACGTAATTGTGATGCCCAATTGTCAAGTTCTAGAAATTAGTTTTTTTTAAGCATTTCTTGGGTAGTCGTCGAAAACTTTATGATCAGAGTCTTAATCTTTTAATGATTATTATTTATCAATTCGATTTTGTACACTTGTTTACATCACCTACAGTATGCCGTCTATTATACATGAGCGGGACTGGCAATTTTTCTTTTCGATTACAAAGCAATACAGTAAGTCATAAAAGTTTTTTTTTCAAATGATAAGTCCATACATCGAGTTTTCATTTATACGAGCTAGTTTCAACAATTATTCTGGTCCATGAATATAAATCCAATGGTATTATGTTTAGTGATCGTTCAATGAGTGAGATCGATCCATCTCTTCTTAACAACTGATCATCAAACTTATCAGTCAGCCAAGAACGAACTATTTTCGAGTAATGTGCTGATGTGCTACGTTGCTGGAAGACAATTTTTTTAGTAATTCCTTTTTTTCTATGAAGACAGGCAAAAAAAACTTTGAAGTATGTCAAGGTTATTTCGTTGATGAATCGTTGGATTATCAAAATGACGATTCAACAATCAGTTTGCTTGACATAACCTATCATACAGTAAGTTTTGATGAGTACATTGCAATTTCAAAGCGACACAGAAATCATTGTGAGTCCTAATACGACAGCTGTGTTGATTAACTAAAACAGAGGGTGAGCTTGTATGTAACATCCAAGAAAATGAAGCAATTAACAAATAATTGTCGCATAATATTTTTCTGCATATAGAACAACAGATTAAATTTTTATATTTCAATTATGGATGATAGTTTTGAAGGATATTTTTGAAGTGTGCTTGTCTAGTTTGAATCACATGAGAATTTAATGATATGAAAGTAGCCAATTGCAATCTTATTAATTACGACTTATTAGAATGATACAAGAAGTTCTCGAATAAAGGTTTAAATGAATATACTAGAGAAACTTTTCGAACGTCGAAAAAGCCATTCGGTAACCAAAAGTTCAATTTGCTCAATTATATTTTCACACAAAACATTTTTTATTTCAGAAAATTTCTCGCAGATCTGACAATAACTCATACGATAATATTTGGCTTTCTACCATCGAAGACGTATGACTCTATCGATTTGAACGTTATAATGAATACACGGAGAAATGTGTTTTAGATTTGAATTATCAAGTTAATCGAGTTTGACTTATATCATCAATGTTTCATGATCAAATAAACTTCTCTTAAAATTAATCAACTATGTCTTAATTTGAGAAAATATCAAACATATAGTTCATTTTATTTTATTTTTTGTTGGAAAGAAATTTATAGATTGTATTACATGATTCCATAAATGAAGTCTGCTTTTCAATCAATTTTCATCACTATATTTTTTTTTATTGTGTTTCAAGGAATAGTTAATTTATTTTCAAAACATATTACACTTTCTAACATCGCTAGAAGAGCTCTAGATTTTCACTGGGTTAATTATTTACAAAACAGATAACGTATTATTCTACAAATGTCGCATATGATTAGATCAGATTCATTGTTAAAGAGAATCGATATGTCTCTTCTCATCTACAGCCTATAAAATACTTTAGGAAATCAATCACTCGGAAAAAAATTGAATATTGTAGAAACAAGTTGATTAAACTGTCGATACAGACGATTTTCTTAGGAACCAACCCACTTAGATACCAACTTAGGATTCGAAAATAATCTTGGAATACACAATCTACAGAAATTTTTGTTTCTAGAAAATTAACTTTCTAGTTTTCTGACAGAAAAGTTAGGACTATATATTATTTCTCCAGTCGAATATTTGAAAAGAATAGAATATTGCAAAACATCAGGCATAATAATTATTTGTCTTTCTTTAAATCTGTTAGTATTCGAAATCAAAATTCTCTGAAATAATCTTACCAACATAAGGTTCTTTTGTATCATATTTAAATGGTGCATCTCTTAAAAATCTGTCTCTAAGTTCTTGTTGTTTCTTTTCCATATCAATAATTTGATTACGAATATTGATAATTTGATTTGCTTGTAATGGTGCTATATGTTGTTTCATTTTTATAGCCATTTTTTTAATAACAATCCATTTTTCAGGTAATTCATCAAGCATTGCATAAATTGATTGTGGTACTTCGTATGCATATGATTTAAGTAATTCAATTATATCTTTAATTGGTTCAGCCATATCATCTGTATATTCTTGTCGAGCACGTACTTGACTTAAAAATGTCATCATATCAATTAAACCTTTTAAATCGTCAGATTTAACTTGACGTTCTAACATATCTGTTGCATGTTTTATAAATAATTCTAATTCATTTAATGAAACAGTAACATGATCAATTAAATAATTTTTATATCTATTATAAATGAAAACTTTGAATAAAATATTTACAAAAAAAAAAAACTGTTTTATTAAATCAATGTGGTAGATACTCGATAAAGATATGCGGGACAATCTTTTTTTCGTCACTGTATCATGATTGAGAATAATTTTCTAACTCTTACTCTACTCTGGAGAACTTTTACACTTATTCTATTCTATACGATAAGGTACGATAACTCTGTACATCTCTAATGCTCAGTACTCTGTTCGATTCATAAGGCAGAAGAGAGTGCTGTTTATAGATCAAATTCTATAGAACAGAGTTAATGAAGCTATTACTCTAGCAAATAGAGGTGAACCGAAAGTTTCTGGATAAAATATTTGACTATTTTTCACATACTTAAATGCACTGGAAAAGAGAGAGAAGTAGTGCATTAAAATTAGAGTTTTATGTCCTTTTAGAATATATTCATCGAGTCTTTCTGTGGCTATTAATTATTGAGCTGTAACTAAATCCTAGCAGAACTCGACAGAATTTTCTAGAGAAACAAAAATCTTATTTTTCTGAAGACAGTCCTATAGCAAATAACTCGTATAAATATAGAGTAATGAATGGTAATGTCTACTCTATAAAATGACGCAAGAACGAAGAGTTTTTGTCCAATCAGCTAAAAAGTAGCACAGTTGTGATGGATGCTCATTTTGCGTTGAAAGGACAAATACCGGAAAAATACTCATTGTTCTTGCGATAGACTTTGCAAAAGTCTTTACTGCACCTGAACCGTTTGCAAAAAATCTACCATTTTCTAGAGAATTATTTTCTATATCTTCCAATATATTCGATAAAGTTTTGTGGCATGTCTGGCACAAGCTCCATTTAACATATTTTTTTCCTTGAAAATAGCATTCGAGTCTTTTCAAAATTTATTTATAACCCTATATTTTCTTGGCTACAATATTCAACACAATGATTAAAAGCCGTGTTAGTCGATTAAATTTGACTGAGCAACATTAACGAAAGAAATATAGTGGATATATGAAATGGTAAAGATTGATAAATTCTATATAAATAATAAATAAACTAGCTTAAATTCTTGAACAATGAATCTTTATCGACTACAGCTTGATTTCGCAAGTCTCTCTGTAAATGTATCAGGCTTGAAGCCAGGAATTTTACAAAGGAGTGCCTATCAGCGAGAAATTTAGTTCACTTCAGAAAAAGGTTTTTATCTGCATCTTTCTCAGAGTTTTTTTCCTCTATGGAGAGTGCCCGGATACTACTTCTGGTTACAACCTTAGAATGTGCTTTGTGTTTTTTCTTTAAGACAATTAAACTAGCACTTGTAAAAGAAAGACAACTCTGAAAAGAGAGCACAGTGTTAGTTACTTATATTATATCAATAATTGTCTCAACAAAGTCATAAACTATTGCTTGAAATATTAAACACTGCATGATGCTACGAGGTCTGAACAATAAACTGTATCGAACGAACCGGCATCTAATCATCATATGAGCGGGCTGTAACCAAAGTTATAAATTATTTTGATCGAAATTATTAGAAGAAAACTTTAGGAAAAGTATGAAAACAAATTGATCCCGTCTACGTAATTATGATAACTGGTTCAAATATTTGCTAGAGTAGAAACTTGATTAACTCTATTGTATAGAACAGTTATTTCTAAGCGCTACTACTTTTGCTTTGTCCTAAGTAAGTCAACATTATTTTAGAACTTTTCTTTTTTTGCCTCTAAATTGATGTACTTCGTGTTTATTAACTTGTAAAAATGCACAGTAAAAGTGGTTTTATTCATAAGCAGTGTCCTTTCGTTAATTGTTTTTTTTCGTTTCAATAGTTTTGTTGTGATTAGTATGATGATATGAAAACACGAAATCAGACTTTGGACATTTTTTAGATCTAGTCAAAAACCAGTAAGTATCACTTTCACATATAGAAAGTACTAACAAGTGAATAGTATCTTGAGATTTTTATTATCGCGAATGGATTTTCATGTAGAAGATCTATAACTTTGTTTATCATTATTTGATATCTTCCATCAAAATTTGAGTACTACTTTCTCATCTTTTTATTCCTTGAAATTTTCTTTCTGGTCAGTGAAACTGATACTTATTGGTTTTTAACTAGATATTAAAAATATCTAAGGTCTCATTTCGTGCCGTTTCATATTGCTACAGGAGCCGCAATAAGAATATCAAGAAATGTAAAAAAAACATGGATAGAAGAGTATGAGCGCCAGCTGATTTTATTTATGAAGGTATATCAACGCTGGGTCTGGAATTCAAAGGAAACAAAATCGTGCCTTTTACTTCAACACACACTTTAATTTATGTTTTAAAGCATTGAACTTACAAATTAATCCATTTATTAACAAGTGTAAGTAATTGTCGTTTAATAGGTCGAGCATCAACTCTTAACCAACTATTAAATAGAAAAGTTTGATCCCAACTATCAATATCATTATATATTGATTGAAATAAATCGATTTGATTTTGAAATTGTATTAAACTTGGTGGTGTTTCTTTAATATGTTCACGATTTTCTAGTTCATAATCTATTTCGAATTAAAATTAGAATTTTGATTTTTTTAAAGAGAAAATAATAAATTTGAACCTTCAAGTGAACGACCATAGAGAAGAAATTGTCTCATATGTTCTTTTCTATCATCAAGCCATAAATAAGAATAATCTTCAACTTCTTCTTTCCAATCATTAGCTTCTTTCATTGTATCACGTAATCGTTCCATAATTTTTAATCGACGATCATTTAATTCTTTCATTTCTTCAAGGTCATTCTATATAATAATAATAATAATATTCTTTTCTCTCTTAATATTCTTTTATTCACTTGATAATGTTTTTGTCCAGAATGTTCAGCAAGACGAGGAAGCATAGCAGCTTGTCGAAAAATATTACCTATTAATGTATCAACTATATCATAAAGACCGTTAGCACTACCAAATTCAAGAGTTGGATTAAAACGTAAATCAAGATCCTTAGGGAAAACAAAATTAAATTTTTCAATAATTAAATTTTCAAAAATGATTACATCTAATATAAGTTGAACTTCAAATAATGGACGTTTGTTAAGTGTTGGATCAGATTCTTCAAGTAGATAATTAAGATTATATTCAATAATTTCATAAAGTGATTCTATAACGATTTCATCCACATAATCAACATATGCTTTCCAAATATCTGAATCAGCATCAGCTTTTAATAACCATTTATTTTGCTGAAGAAGAAAAATAAAAAAAAAAAACAACAGAAATAATTCAGTAACATTATATTTATTCAGCGACTACTTCATAAATAAATTAGATGTCATTTTGATTTGAATACTTCAAAATTTATAAATGAAATCAGTTGATTTTAAAAATTGAAACACTACATTGATCCTGTGTTTTATTTATGTAAACAAAAATATTTGAAAATGAGAAAATACGAATCTACCAGTAGAAGAAGATTCGTTGATCTGCATGTTATAAATATTAGTGTTAATAAAAGCCTAAAACATATTTTCATTGGTGAAGCTTCATATTTATCTTCGTTTCTCGAATAAAACGAAGTATTGTACCGTTAAAACGAGCTTATCTATTGCATTTCAAGAACTAAACTTTTTTTCTCGATATAGTTCTAATTCGGATGTTCAATTTCAAATTAAACCGAGTTATCACATACGATTCCTTGTTGCTCTAGAGAGCTAATGATAGTCTTATAGAAAAAAAAAAGTCAATTTTTTCACATTTTTAACATCTAATTTGAGATTTTGAATAGTCTATTGAGAAGACCACTCAATACAAGTATTTTTATCAAGATCTTGAATAAATATAGATTTTGAAAGAATGAAAAGAAGCTTGTCACTTCACATTATGCTTTCTGTTTTTCCTTCATCTTAATTAATAATGAAGAGTCTTCACCAATTTGGTCCTTGAAGTCCTCCTACTACTAAGCTAAAGAGTGAATTAACTCATGTTTAAGTCACTTAGAACATTTGGTTAGAACCAGAAGCAATTAGTTAAAACGAGACTTTTTCACTCTTTTCAAATATATGTTCAAAATTTCCTTCTGAGGTAAAATTCGACAAATATCATCAAATTGTTTCAAAAGGTACGAAATATTAATTATTTAGAATATTATTTTGGCAAATTTCCTACTTAGATTGAAACCTATCAAATTCAAAATTTAATGGCTCAGTTTTGTAGAGCAAAGTTCATTCTAAAAAGAGTACTATTTATTTTTGTTTAGCAGATTTTAAAACTTTTGTACTTCTAAGATCAGTTTTTGAAACTTCGATTTTTTGGTTAATGTTGCTTTCTACAGAGACTAGTTTTTTAGTACAAACGCATAGATAAGATTTTTGCCTATTATAATATCTCATTTTGTACAGAACTCAGTGCTTTACCATAATTTTGAGATGAAGTTTTTCTAACAGACAAACTAAGGACTACATCCGAACAGCTATTTTGCTGTTTACAGACACAATTTTGAACTTTTTCCCAAAATTTACTGATAGTTGTTCAGTCTTAGTTGTGATTAATTTCACAATCAAGTTCCGTACATATGAACAAAATATCAATGACTAACACTTCTTTTATCAATAACAAAATAACCTTTTACTAATGAAAATTATTTAAGTAACGCTATTTGAATATCGTCATTAAGTTTTTGTTTTTTTCACTTGAATTCTTGATAGTTGTCAAGCTTACTTTAAGAATATCTTGTAAACGCAAACCAGCATCTCTTAATTCATTATTTCTCTTTATTACTCTATCTTCTTTTTCATAAACAATAAGCAATGGATCTTGTCGAGTTTCACCACGTGAAAATAATGCCATTTTAAGAAAATGTTTTAGAATTTTTTGCATATCATCTAGATTTGATTTGCTTTTGAAAAAACGTGCTTCAAAATCACTAATTGTTGTTCGAAGACGACGAATAAAATCAGTTGAATCTTAAAAACATACACGCTTCATCGAATGAGAAAAATATTCTGAAGTAATAAATAGCTTTTTGAAATAAATCTTACTTCTTCAGATAGATCTTATTAATAATAGAGAAAGTCTAAAAGGATTCATACCCATAGATTTTTTTTTCTTCAGCTATGATCATCTAAGTCAGTTTCTTTAAGGAGGAAATCTCATGAAATTTCTTGAGATTCGCTGTTTTTCAATACAATGTTGTGATGAAGTTTTTAACGAGACTAGTTCATTGTGAAGGTATTACATGTTTCTTTTAGTTTCATTTACCATGAGATCTATCTGCAAAATGCCAAGTGTTAGTGTGTCTGGTGTCGAAACAAGGATGAAATGTCATAGTTTAAGACGTGGAAGTTGAAGGCTAATTGTAGAAACCTATCCGTGTCCTATGCACCAGAATTTGCTAGTCTAAATATCACAGTAAAATGTACTTTTTGACTTAAGAAAAATTTCTTTATTGGTATCTGATGATAGGAAATACTAAAAAATCTAATATTTGAACAACGAAGTAATAAGTTTATCTATGAAAAGCTTGAACTTAAAATTCGATTTTGAGGATGATTTGAAAGCATGATGGTAGTTTTTTTTACATCTCGCTAAATAAATCATGACTCAAAATGAAAGACTCATGGATATGTATCTAGAAGTGTAAGCCGATGCATTGATCGGCAATAGCAGATCAAGTTTTTCGATGAATTTTAAAAAAATGTGCTAATATTGAGCAATTTGAAAATGAAAACGATGGTGGAAAATTTATTGACTAGAAACCGAACAATACCATCTCCAAAAACTGATTTGGAACGTTGGAAATATCTAAAAATCGAATATTTATTTTTGAGTTGTGGTAACCATGGTTGAAATCTTCAACAACTATTTTATGGAAGACGGCGGCTGGAAATTTTCTCCAAAAATCGGTGGCGATGATTCAGGCAATCGGCTTACATTTCTATATGTATTTTTCTTAAGCTTTCTCGTATTTCAATACGACCTGTCCAAGAAGGTAAGATATATTCCAAAATTCATTTCTTCATGGGTAAAGTTTCTCGTAAGCTAATCTTGTTGAAACATACCTATATCGATATTGAATGTAACCACTGTACTTGCTTTTTCAAGATCATTTTCAATAGTTGTTAATTCTTCATGAATTAATGGATATTCAATAATAAGAACATTGTCATATATATGACGATAGGACTTCGTAATATAATCTAAATAGAAACCTGTTAGTGCAATCTCTGCAGGATTAAAATGGAAAATCCAATGTAACTACTGTCGCTAACCACAAGAAGATTGTTTTATTCTATTGTTTCTGGGACATATTTCTTCGGCATTTCTATATTTATACGATCTGTGATGCCTGTCATGGTCTGATGGGAGAAGGGCGTGGGGGGGGGGGGGGTGCTGAAAACTTTTTATCTTCTATACTTCAACACTCTTTTTAGATCGCACTTCACAAAAGTATTTTATTTGTTTTTTTACCAAGATCGATAAATTGTTGTTGAAATCGATCTATTTGTTGATAGAATTCTTCAATTTCTGGTGAAAGAATTAAATTTGGTATCTGATAAAGACGCATAACTTCATGTAAAGCTGCAGCAAGCTTTGAGGAAAAATAAATAAATAAACAAAAGTAAATATTTTGTCTTTTGTTTGGGAAGAAATTGTTTTTATAGTTACTTCTGATTTGATATTAACGATATAATATTCCTTTTCTTTTCTAAGAAGTGGTTCATTTAAATGTAACAAATTTTCTTTTTGAAATAAATTAATCCATTGTTGATTTATATTTTCAATAAAATTGTCAAGTTTTATTAGAATATTTTTTTCTTGTTCAAGTATTCGTTTATAAACATCATTATCTTTAATACTAGAATAATTGAGTTACCAAAAAAACAAAAAGAAAAGAAAAGCCAAATTCACTTGATATCGATTGTTTTTAATGGTTCTATGTGATTATGAATACGTTGACGTAATTGTTCAATCCATCGATAATGAGAAATTAATTTTGGCATAGATAATAACCATACTGAACTTGAATCTTTAATATATTCATCAAATAATATCTGATCTTCATTCAATGCATTTTCAATTATATTCAAAAGAGTATTTGCATATTCATCAATAACATGTTTAAGTCGATTTCTTTGTAAAGTTGATCCAAAAATATGAAGTAGCTAAGAATAATAAATAAAAATTATTGTCATAATACTAATAGAAAAATTTCGACAAACTCGATAAATATTATCAATATTAGTTGTTTTAATATGATTAGAACAAGGATGAAGAAAACGATGTAGAATATTAGCAATACGTTCATCACCAGTAAAAACAATTTTACGAAATGTTTTATAAGCATTAGGAAAATCAAGATTAGATTCATTTGTTATATCATCCGATAGACCTATATTGAATGTTATTAATCAAAAATTAATACTGAAATTTTACCACGAAATACAGCGTATGTTGATTTAAAATCTCCAATAACTTTTTGTAAAATATTCTGTAATTCATCAGCATCAATACCACCTAATTCAATTGATTCATATATAGAACATTCTTGTGCAGTTAATAGAATATCCTAAATATTTAAAATTCAAAGAAAGAGTTTCATAGACTTAAATCAGTACACAATCTTCACTTTACCGAAAAGTTTCTAATAAACAGAATGACTGCAATAGCTTACAAGAAAAAAATCATCTGTAGCAAATAAATATTTGTTTTGTATTCATCTGTATTCTATATTTTTGTAGAACTCACATATGTTTTTCAAAGGAAAATAGTGAGTGTAAGTTTCAAGTCGAAGTTTTCCTGCTTCCCCATACCGTACTTTGGAGCTGAGTAAGAAAGATGTACATAGATCAATGAGTACGTTTTTCTTGTAACCGAAAACAACAAGAATTACACTCCTTTCCAACATTTCCTCAGCAACGGAAAAAGACGTTAAATGGCATTAACAACAAGGATTCATCTGTTCTAGAACATTCCAAAGTCATCCGTGAAGTTTTAATATCTAGAAAACATTTGTGAATGTTCTAAATAGCTCAATTTCGGATTTTTTACAGAGATAAACAATTTTAAGATATGTATCAAGGATGATGGATAGTGTTGGATTAACTATCGGCAGTATACTGTATTACTCCTAAGAACCGACTGTATACCAACAGCAGATTACTGATCGGAAAAAACTTATCACTATATCGCAATAAAATGGGGTTCAGAGTATAGTCGACCGTTTAAGTATTAAATTGACCGAATATAATGTATATTATGCCGAACGGCCTACCGACAGTTTTTTTCTCTGGTTCGAATGGTGTGGGAACTTCGAGGATAATGAATATCACTTTTTCTAAGTTTATCGAAACGTATAATAACATGTTGAGATCTGCTGTTGTTCAACAAGGTAAGCTAAAAACAGAATGCCGGTAAAAATAAAATCAGTTCATTATGCACAAATAAATAAAACAAACAATTCTCCCGATGACCTATTCACCCAGAAAAAGAACGATTGTGTCTTAAAAATTTTTCATCTAATGTATTATATATTAGTATAATAAGGCTAAATAATAATATGTTCGACATTTGACGATTTATATAAAAGCCAGCATAATATTCTTTAAATCTTTGATATTCCTTAGGAAAAATTCAATTATTTTCGATGTGAAGAACTGATGTGTTACTTGATATCGGAAAAATGACAATATGGTAATGACGTTCTCCCAATAGCTAAAGTTATCACTTATTTTTGTTTACTTGAATTTCAAAGCTTCACTCATATTATGAGTTCTAAAATTATCGTAGAAATAAAAAAAACTATTCTTACTTTAAGCATTTTAAGACGATCAACAAAATGATCAAATCGTTCAAAGATTTTTGACTCTGGTATTTCCCAATAAAGTGCCTATAAAGCAATGATTAACAAAGAAAGTATTAAATAAGGAACAAATCTTACTTGACGATCATCATTAAAGTATGATGGTAATAATTCCTTGCGACGTTGATAAGATTTTTTATAGAGAAGACATATTTCAAGTGCTAAATTAATCAATTGAATAGGTTCATCAAAATCTGTATCAACAAATAAATCATTTGGTTGAAGCAAATCACGAATCTACAAAATAAACAATGCAAGATGTACGCAACGCCATATTCTAATGGATTTTATTTGGGGTTTTGGATGTGGGTATCGGTCTTATTCTCATACTGACACCCTTTTTAATGATGTTACGATAATACAAACTACGAAATACAATGTTATTTTTGCCACTTTTTCTACGTAAATGAGAAAACGTTAGATGTTCTCATCAACAAAGCATCATATATAAAAAAAAAACCTAAATGAACACTTGTATCTCGAAATCTGACGGCACATCTTATTAAGCTATATATACGAAAAATGATTTTTCTTATGTTATTTACTTTAAATCTATGCAAATAAATTCTTCTAGTCAGTTTTCGATACTGTATTAGCATCAAATATTCTCAGAGGATTTTGAAAAAAAAAACAGTCGATAGAAGCTAAAATGGCTTTTAGAAGAAAAGATCTTTTTCATATGCATAATCTTATCAATTATCTCAACTCTTTCGAACGAAAAGAGTGTTCTATATAAAATGTATGCATTCAGAATCATCTGATCAAATTCTATCAAATCATATACAAATCAATGAAAAATAATATTCATTATAATTTTGCTTTACATGCATTTTTACTTCTTTTTTAAATCATTTCAAAACCTTACTTTTAAAATAATCAGATTTGTCCATTGTTGTAAAAATCCAATAAATCGACCTATATTTGTATAATAAACTGAATTAGCCCAAACTAAAGCTAATGTATGAAATAATCGATCAAAATATAATGATATTGATTTAATATCTTGAACTTTTTCAATTATTTCAAGAATAGGTACAAGTGCTTTTAAATATAAAGCAATGTTTTGTGCTTCAGCTAATGATTGAATAACATCACGAAACATAGTACGAAATCTTGAAAAATAATTTGAACTAGAAATTTCAAGAACTTCAGCAAGACGTCGAACTAATGGTGAATGCATCTATTGATTTGATTTCTTTTTAGAGTGATTAATTTGAATTTTCAACATACTTGTGTTTTAATTCCTTGCAAATTTTCTGCTCGATTTGTCCAGAACTCAATTTCCACATTTGGTAATGTATAATATTTATTGTTCGGTGGATCATGATCATAATTAATTACTTTTTGAATTTGATTTTTCCAACTGATTATAAGATTTTCTAATAAACGAATTTTTCGACCATCAAATGTTTTATTACTAATTATATCCGAAGACAAAACATGTTTATCATAAATGAAATAAATTCTTTCATAAATTATTCTTACTGACTAAGTACACGAAGATAATCTGATTTTGATAAAAATTCAATTTCATGTGGTATTGATAAGATTGTTTGACCTCGAAGTATTCCATTGATTATTGTCAATAAATTTGTTAATTCAGATATATTTTCTATACAACTACGAAGCACAATATCAGGCCAATCGAATAGTGTTTTTCTTCGTTGTATTATTGGCCAAAGAATCTAGTAAAATAGATGAATATTTAAAATAATTTTTATTGAATAATATACTTCAGATATAAATAAACTTAATTGTGTAATTGATGACGATGTAAATTCTGCAATAGCTATTTGTTTTTTTAATGGAATATCTTTTTCAATAATACTTTCATTTCGTTTAACAAAGCAAATTATTTTCGATTTCAATGGAATTGGAAATTCAGTTAAAATATTTAATGCATCAGAATTTTCAAATATAAGAATTATATTACGATCAGGTTTATCAAAAAATGATTCAATAACTTTACGATTTACTTCATTATTTATAATAGCTGAAAATTAAAAATAAACCTGTAAGATTTGAAATTTATCGAAGAATATCAAAACAAAACACCTTTTTTAAATGCAATTGGTGTTGTACCATAAACAATATTGAGATAAGTAATAATAAAACGAAAACGTTGATCTTCCAATTCCATATCATCATTAAGAATTTCAACTTCACCAATATCACTTGAAATTGAACTTCGTTCATTAGCACTCTCATTCATTGTTATTAACAATGAAAATGATTTAATAGCGCCTTTTTCTTAAAAATTTAATTGCAATATTCAATTATCTGCATCTCTTTCTAAGAACAAATACCAAAAGATGTTGTTTTTATGAATCGCCCATGACGAATTTTCAAGCAGTAGAAGAAGGATCTCAAAAACTAGACAGATGGAAGGAGAACAATCAAACATTCGTGGACGCTCAGATACTTACTATGAATATTTTCCTAGAATATGCTGCTGACATAATTAAAGATTATGTTATATGAGCAGATAATTATTTTGTGAAGCAACTATATCAGATTTTTGAGTACCATTGGTATTAAACTGCATTTTTTGTTTTTGATATTTTCTGCTTATTAAAATTCAATATTATTTAGAAAACAAAAACTTTGCAATAGATTATATTTTCGCTTGTTGTTTATGAAATGTGCTTTTTTTTTCGTTTTTCTTTTCATTTATTTATTTAATGAACTGTTATTTAATAAAAAGAAAGTATTATATTTGAGCAAGCAAGCTCTTTCTAGAAAATTGCTTTTTATATTGGATGTTCAGGAAGGGACGGATGTTGATGGAACTGGACAAATTTGGACATCGGAGATGAAGGAGATGAAAAAGTAAGATTTTCATCTAAACGATCTTTATGGATGACTCCTTAGCAATAAAATTTTTATATTTCTATGTATCCAAGAATTAGATTGCTATCAATTATTCAAACTGACTTCATCTCGTAGTCATTATTTTTATATTTTTAAGGCTCCCTGCCCCCAACCCTCAAAAATCGATCTCAGTTCAAGAACGTTCAAGCGCCATGAAAGTTTCAGGATATGTTGGAGATGTGGTGGAAAAGCTATGATGAAATTTTCAGCCCGATATGATGACGTTTGAGGAAGACACTGGCCAAACAAGGATCAAACATTGCTCATTAGGCAGCTCAAATTTCTCGGTCCAGGTTCATTTTATATATTTTTTCTTTTGTTTCAAAGAGCATGTCAGGAGGAGGCTTAATGGCAAGGAAGCTGCAAAATTCAGTTCGTAACTATCTTGAAGTACAATTGGATGACCCATAATGAATGACTGACTTTTGTATTTTGTCTTTGTATCATCAAGTAAGTTTTACTAGGAAACAAAATCTGGCACAAGATGCTGTGTGAAAGGCTCTACAAGTTAGGATAAAAGTCTTTTTTTATATAAATGCATCATTTGCTTTCAAAATCGACATGGTCTTCATCATTTTTTGGTATACGATCAATTTGTTTTTTATCTCATCGATTGAAAAAAACTATTATTCATTAACAAAATGATAAGAGGCAGACGGACAAAAGCCATAAATCAAAAGACCAAGTATTCAAGAAAAAGAATAATGGTGTGGTTAGATACGTCTAAAAATGGTCTTACGTCTTCAATGATATGAAAACCTGGCAAAACATTATCACATAAAGATTTTTTTAAAATTAATCTCCCACATGAGTAATATGATGATTGACGGCCCCTGGCGACGGTTTCACTTATCACTAAGACAACGCGATGGCATATATTCATCAAGAATCATCGACATGGTATGAGGGAAGTTTCATGCATTTTATAAACAATATTAACTAGATGACCACCAAGTAGTCGTGATCTCAATGTTTTGGATTAATAAGTGTTAGACGATATTACCAATAATATGCAATGGAATAAAATAAAAAAAACGTAATTCTTTAATTGATGAAATGAGAAAAGGAATTCGTTGGTTACCAAAAACTGATTTTGTTCGTACAAAATTCCGTGCATCTCGAAAATAAAGAATGCGTATGTTAGACAAGATTTTTATTGTAACTTGTAGAGATTGTCACGCTGCCTCTTGTGATATATTTTGTTTTTTTGAATAAAATATGCTAACGAGGGAATCTATTCAACTGATAACCTCCGTTTGAACTCATATTTTGCCCATAGGTAGAACTCACACTGTAGATAAGAATCATAGGAGAGGCTCGTGTCATTAGGTCTTTCTTCGAGAGTTATGGCCATTTTACGGAATATTCAGCCTATCCCAGGGTATTATGAAAACAACCTGCGCAAGGAGTTTCCGTCTGAAAATTTTCCCAATAATAGAACTCATAGTCCTTATTATATCGCTTGAACGAATGAGTTTTCCTTAAGGTATTGGATATCTCAAAAATGGACTATTTTCGGAGCTTTTGTGAGAAAGCAGTGTTTTTTTCCAAATGTGTTATCTTGGAAGAGAACCATTCGTTTGAGTCGAAACCTTCAGGATATAATAGGGACCATGAGTTCTATTATTGGGAAAATTTTCAGACGAAAACTCCTTGCTCAGGTTTTTATCTACAGTGTGAGTTCTATCTATGGGTAAAATATGAGCTCAAACGAAATCTATCAGTTGGATAGATTCCCTCGCAAGTGATAAAAAGCAAAAATATAAAAACTGTTTATTCATTATGAATTACCTGTTATCAATTGTATTATTTAATTCAATTTTTTTGTCTATGAGGGTGATGCTTTAAATACAATTCATATATTTATGAATATATAGGCATTCATATTCAAATAAACGAAGAATGTGAGACAGATTTTTTTTTAAATATTTTAATATCGAATTAGTGAAGCAGTTTCTAAGAAAGCAATGCTACTCATTGCTATCGATGATGAGAAAGAATTGTATTACACCTGAAAGAAAATTACAAAATATATGAAAAAGCGTAGCTTTAATGTCATGATTGGCTGGGATTCTAAGCATGCTTATATTATGAACATTTGTCGTCCAAAACTCATACATAAAATTCGACCAGAGTATCGTGTATAGTGATGCCTGTCATGAAGTGTTTTAGCACTAATTGCATTAACTACTTTTCCAGTAGTCTGAATAAATTTAATATTTCGGTTACTGATCCCACTCTTCGTCCTAATCTATAGAAAAATTTTCACATCAAAGCTTTAAAAAATTCATAAATATTCATTTTTTTGATTTACTCAATCGACAAATATGACTTTGCGGTATTCTCTCTCTTAAATTTTATTCTGATGGATGTCATTTATAAAAGAATTCACTTTAAGCTATAGAGCATTCAACTTCAATATTTTGTTTCAGTTCCGAACAATTTCTGTTCTTGTAGTCTCACATATATTTAGCTGTGTATCATCAATAATGTAACAATTGTGAAAAGAGTGTTGTCTGAAAGATAAGTATGGACGTGCTGAAAAGCAAAAAGTAGCCAAATAGTACGATGAGAATCCCACGATAGCTATGAAAGTGTAGAAGATAATTGAATCCGTGTTCGTAAGATAAATAAGCAGACTTAATCATCATTCAAAGACTGTTTCTTAGCAATTCAGTCTTAAATAAAATTTCAGTATTTGTTTCCATGCATTGCATTCTTTTGAACTTAGCATTTCAGATGATTTTATATTTTCATCAGTAATCGTTGGTCATATATTTCAATCAGGTAAGCATATTTATATGTAAGAAACTTTATATTCATAAAAGCACAGTACGCAAATTGAAGAAAAATAGTTTTCTATTTCTTTGTAAAAGATGTTGAAATCAATTACTGAGTCTCAGCATGACATACATGTCTTAAATAGTAGCTAATGCCATAGATTGCTACATGTAATAGATTTTGCTTTTTTTTTCATTTCATAGTATCTAATTTGAAATATTTAACATATTCAGACAAACCACTGGAAGTTTTATTGTTATTTTTTAATTAAAACAAAAGTCGCCAAACAATAATGTACTTTAACTGAAAAAAAAATAAAATGAAGCCTTATTCATTCGAGAACGTGGCAGTGGTATTGCTATGAATCGACAAAGCAATAAGATTGATCAAACGACAAAGAAAATGCATCAAAAACAGGAACAACAATATGTACTTTTATTAAATAAACAAAAAACACAAGAAAAGCTACATTTTCAGAAAAAAACAAGTAAGATTACATTGTTATTTCATGTTTAAGACTTTTCTTCTAGGTTCTGACGTTCATTCAACTAATCCTACATCCATCGTTCATTCAGAAGATAAAAATAATGAAAACAATATATCTCGAGATTCAACAACGTCTGTTTCAACTGGTATCCAACAATCAACGGTTCCAACAAAAAAATTAATTGTTCATCAATTCTATAATGTTTATGTAGGAATGTCCGATGAAGAATGGATAAAAACACGAGATTCATTTATTGCTGCATATTTTAACGATTAAAAATAAGTATATTCATAACTAGTACATAGCAAAAGTGTTGAGATACATATTATATTATAATAAAGAAACTTGACGAATAATTTCCTTTTATACATACTTGTACTACTAATAAACTTCTAAATTTATCTATTGTATGATCATTATTGAGTCGATATTATTATATAAAGATTCAAGAGGAAGCTATATACACCATTACTTTCAGGTAAATAAGAATTAGCAGAATTCTAAATAAGACGGTATACAACAAGTAATTGAATTATAAAACTACAAAATAATTAATTCTACTATAGTTATAAACTCTGTTTTAATAAATAATAAGCGAAATTCTATCTATCACAAGTAAAATATAGACAAAAATCTTTGGAATGCATCAATAGTCTTCAATATAAGTTTAAATGTTTTATTTTAGTACAATTATGATGCGCTACTTTGCATGCACAGTTTTTTGTAACCATGTATACATATGAATAGCTCATTGTAAGGTTAATGACAGATGATAAAGGTGTGTTGCTATCAATGAAAAACTGTCCTATATTATTAACGCTTCTGTAATATATTGTGAGTTGGAAGATACAAGTAAGTGTAAGAATCAATGACATTGAATTATTATCTGTTAAGTTGACGATATGGTTTATAATTTAGTGACTCTATGTCAGAAATAGGGAACTCAGTTAGAAAGGAAAATGAACGAATAATACAAGCACAGATCTCATGTTTGAGTAGACAGCAAACTTTCATTAACGATAGCGTCACACAAACATTTGTAAATAAACTTGCAGCAAAGTTACTGTTGATATGGTGCATGCAATTTACTTCGTATTGAAGTGATTAGATGTGAGATAGAGTCAGGATGTGGGTGTGAGAATAAGGCCCACACGCACATCCATTGTCAACGTTTCACACCCACACTCACACACTCATATTATTCGTACTCGAACCTTGCATTCTATTCCTACTCGGCACGGCAATAGCTCTCCTTAAAGAGACAGTCTAACTTTAGCAAAACAGAGTAAAAACTAAAAATGAAGTTGAATACTAATGGTACTCGAAAATTTTACAAGGTTCGCATTACTGCTACAGAAAATAGCTCATTACCAATGTAGCATAATCTTAAATTATTTCCATAGCATATTCATATTCAACGGATTGTCTTATTTAAAAATACTCTTCAAAATAAGCTAAGCTTGAAAATTTCGTGGAAAGTTGTTTGAAAAAAAAAAGAAAACATTCATAGTAAATGTCTGGACGTGCAGAAATGTTTCACCCCCTCTCAGTTCGACTTTTAGTATGTAGACACAGAATGAGTTATATCTAAATTCAAAAAAAAAGAATTACATCTGAGCTAGATCAATTTTTCCAATGCCCACCTGTTGTAATTGTTAACGGCTAGCATAAAATTTGAGGAACACTAAGTGATTGAATTGAATCTTTGACAATTTTAAACTCTAATTTCATGCTACTTTGTTAAATCCGAATATTTATGATTTATTTTTTTCTTATCAATCTCGCATTTTCTTATTATACAAATGCTTTCTTTTTATTGACAGAATCGTTTCTGGGTTGGTACTATTCTTTTGTCACTATGTAAAAGTTAGAATAACAATTCTACATTTGTTAAAGTGATACAACATCCATAAAAACAATCAGGATTCTATTTTCAAGTTTACCATTAGAGATGTTAAAGTCAAATGATATCTAAATTGGTGTCGACCAGCAACGTGTAGAAGCTAGCTCTATGATTTCTTCAGTTGTTTAGAGATATATACTCAATGATGGCTAACCAAATGACTGATCAAATATAACACAGATCATTATCCTTCATATTATTTTTTGGATTGTAAAACTTCAAACTATCAAGATGATAACATTCTTGAATTGTTCATGAAATAATTCAGTAATGCTATATTTCCAGAGCGATGAAACAATACCATCGTTAATCTTTTGTAAAAAAAAGTTGTATAACCTATTGGTCAAATTTCTCAAAGGAAAATATATCACAAGATGCACTGTGATTAGAGTTACGACGTTTCGAAAATTCAGATTGATAGTTCTTACTTTTCTGTTAATACTTTCTTCCATGATACTAAAATTCATGACCGAAACTATATCCTTATTTTTCTCTGATTTGATCCCTTTCTCATAAAAAAATGGAAATAGTCCATTTTGTAGAGAAAAAAATTCTACCATCTGAGATGTTTTGCGCCTCTAAGTATAAAATGGCGAAGGAGAAAATTACAAAATGCGATCAAAATCGTGGGCTTATACTTAAAATTTCATAACAATTTTCTGCAGACTTTCGAATGAAATAATCAAATTAAAAATCTACATATGTAAAATATTTCTGCAATCAACATAGTCGATTTTCTGGCGTATCCTCTCCAAAGACAGACATCGAATGTTATATTTACTAATTAGTGTTTTGGCAATAATCGTAAAATTTTCATATAATCATTTTCAGTGACATACAGTGGATTGTTTGAAAAATCACTTTTCGATTGGAAAATAATTCTGGTCTTAAAAGGTTAAGGATTTATTTATTTCAGACAAAAAAGTATACATGAGGATGACAGGTTTGGCCAATTGTTCGAATGCTTTTTGCAACAGTTACGCTACTTGTAAATCTCTTATGTTTTTATTTTGTTTCGGCTACATATTTTGCCCGACACTAAAACAATCAAGAATCTCCCACAACACCTGTTAGTGTTTGCCACAAGGTATTATGAAGATATTCAACAAGAAATTTTTGGAAGATGTTTGATGATTTTGGCTTCGAGCTACATATCTAACCTAAACGATAACAAAACATCAGACCTCTACATGTAGTGTAAATGGTGAAAAAAAATCATATTATTCTCGTATATAATAGGAGCTGCAGAATGAAAAAAAAGCATCGGTATATCTGGTCGATATTGCCTACACCCATGTATATCATTATTCAAAAATAGAACCAAATTTTTCTATAAAGAAAAACGTTGTTATTTATAATATAAAACACATAACTCAAATCGACTGTTAACACGTTCATTGATCTGGACGAATAAGAATAAGTGGACGAATGGCAACTGTTTTTCCTGGAGATTTTCTATTATTACCAATTGTTCCATTTGATAATTCTGTTTTACCATTTGATATAGAACTTGAATATGTTCCATTATTAGATTGAAAATGAATTTTTACGTCTTTTATTGCACTATTAAGACGTGTTCTTAAGTGTACAATTTCAAAGACATGATTTCGATAAGCACGTGCTTGTTTCGATAAATGAAGTAGAATAATATCACAAACAAATGTTGCTAAACCAAATATTCCCACTAATGAACCAATATTTAAAGTTAATGTGATGAAATCAAATTTTCCAGCTTTACCACTAACAGCAATTATAAAACGAAGACCATAAGCTTTTGTTAATGCACGAAAATAATTGTCATCATATTTCCAAGAAGTAGCATAACGAAAATTAAAACCACGTGAAAACGGTTTTTCATAAAAAGGTACATCAAGACGAGCAAATGAATATTCAGGTTTACATAATTTTATCTTTCGATCTAAATTGCAATCCCAATCGAGTTTAATACGTACAACACCACCGTGACGTAACATTAAATTACGTTCAGTAATATTTTTTTCAGCTTCACTCATTATGTAATCAATAGTGAATATCGGACAATCTTTATTATCTTTTGGATGAAAAGTACATGGGAGTTTTAACTCGTCAACCATATTTTTATGTTTAACCTGGAACATTGGAAATTCGATAAAATTTTTTATAAATAATGTAAAATCAAGAGCTCCTTGAACAGGCATTGTTGATGTAAGATCATCTTCTGGTGGACACCAACCTACAAAAAATCTTGCTAATGTCTGTGCAAAAAGTGTAATGGTCGTGGATATTTTTGTAAGAGCTAGAAAACTGCAGTTTTCACCATCCAAGAGAGAAGACTCGGGACCATCAAACTATATCGATATTTGATTGGTCAGAAACTGCTCAATCAGGTGAGTTCTCGGTAAAGATATTCGAAAACGATATTCTGAAGCTATTTTGCGTTCAATTTCGGCTTTTATTGAGACTAAGTCGACAGAAAAAAATTTGCTCGTTGATCTATGCAAGACCGACATTCCTTGCTAGTTTCAGTCAACAGTTATAAGACTTTTTTTTGAAGCTTCCGATTTCAGCCAATTAATCTGTAATTATCTGAAAAACTAGCTGAGCTACGGTAATTCAACATGCTGAATCGAATATTGATATTTGTTTTTAGATTTGAAATGATCTGACACTGTTATTTCAATATTTGTGAAATTCTACAATCAGCCTTCATATAACGAAGGAGCCGACATTTCGAAAATCTTGAGGCAACAGTGTCAGATCATTTCGAATCTAAACCAAATATCACTATTGAGCTCAATATGGTAAATTACCTTTGACTGGCTGCTTTTCCGAATGATTAAAGTTCAGTTGACTGAGATATGGAATTTCAGAAAAAGTCTTATAACTCCTGAATAAAGCTAATTCGGAATGTCATTCTTGTATAAATGGAGAGAGAAGAATTTGTTTCTACCGAGTGCTCCTATTAAAAGTCTAAATTAAAGGAAAAATAGCGTCAGAATAACGTTTTGAAAAACATTCATACAAAACTCACCCGATCGGCCAATTGTTACCCAACGAAATTTCGACATACTTTGATGAGTTCGAGTCTTTTCTCTTGAAGATTGAAAACTGCAGCTTTATAACTCTTTCAGTTCTTAAACTATTGCAAAAATATCCACGACCATTATGTTTTTGGATAGATATTAGTGAAACTGGTAATTAAAAAGCTTTTTAAAAAAAATTCGATTAAAGATCTTTTATTATCAGTTTTGTTTTAAAACAACAAGAAATACGGCTGCATTAGTATTGCCTGTTTGTGTGTTGCTCATAGAGTTCTCGATCTATGGACGTCATGAGCTCTAATGGATTAAGCATTCATATCCAGACATACTAATATTTTTTAGATCACCTCTTACATACTGATAGAAGAGCAAAAAATTTGAGCGAAACTTTGTGTTTTAGATGGCGAATTCCTATATCCAATGTTTATGAACACATGGTTGTAGCTTATAGTGATTTATGCTCAATAACTCACTATAATTTTTGAACGGGGCTTGTCATTTTAAAGATGAATAGGTAAGCGTTGATATACGCGTGCTATACATAATTTTTCAGATGCTATCGAGTATGATATTTATTTTAAAAGATTTTAGGGATATGTAGTTCATCATGTAAAATGTCCCACACTATGTATTTGAAGTGCTAAAAATGTCCACAATTTACTGAATTGCGATTTGAGACGTTTTGGTGACTATCCCCTAGCGGAAATACTCATGAAGCTAATACGCCTTATCAGTACGAGTACTCGAGCAATTTTATCTGTATAAATATGGTTCGGATATTTTGACGAGTCTTCATACGAATTTTTCTCTACAAATTTACTCATAAGTAATGACATGATTATTCAATATACATAGTACGCATCTGTGTTTTTTTTGCAAAATATTTACCAAAACATTTATACACTCGTATATACAAAAATCGATTGAAGCTATGTAATAAAGATAAATAACATCAAATAACGAACAATAGAAAGGAACTATTTTAACGACTTATCTAGTTTATTCTTTGTTCTTTGCTAATGATTCATATATATGAGCTTGTCGGGTAAGATCAAATATTTGTTTAAATGTGTTAATAGAGATTCATTCAAATTTAATTTTCTAAACTTGGATAAAAAAATTCGGTATTAAAATACACGATATCAGATTAACTGTAAAATGCAAGGAAATAAAATGAGCTAACAACTCTTCTTACAAGTCGATTGTGCTTAAAACCAAGAAGACATCTGCAGTGACGCATCTAGAATTTTTATTATAGGAAGTGATTAGGTGAAGACTTTTTTTTTTGGAAAAAGTGAGAAAAATGTTTTTGAAGGGAAATGATCATATCGCTGCGTCTTTTCTCTAAATCTACCACTGGATACCTGCATAATACTATAGACCAATAATTTTATTTTTTGTGTTTTTCTGATAAATTACCAAAAACTTACAGATAGTTATGAATTTGAAAATGCCTATTTGATTTATTTGTGTAATAATCAACATTGGATGTTTACATGTCAAGGGAGGTCTCTGTTTCACAGAATAATTTATTTTTGATTTTTCTTTTCCTATATTTTACTGTGCTCAATCTATATTTTAGTGTACTCCTATTTTATGAGATAGAGACAGAGATAAAGAACTCTTTATTGTAAATCGAGAAGATCAAAAAAAAAAGTTGTGAAAAATATGAAAATTTATTATTAAAAAGATACACAACAGATATGAAATTGTAGGACAGAAATGATTGCTCATAAAACAATATCAGTGATCATGCAGCTCTAGGTCATCGTGTCCGTTGTATATTTTTTTCAAAAATAAATTTTCTTGTTTTATTTTATTAAAATAAAGAAATATTCAACTTTCTTTTCTAACCATGAAAATTTCTCTAGCTCTATTATTTTCTTGCTGAAGTGTTAAGAAAAAGTGATAACTGTAGTTCTCATATTATTTTTTTTAAACGTAACAAATGAAAGCTACTGAGATTAACAATTGAAGCAAGAGCAAAAAGATTTCTATTAAATAATATTGTAAATATTTTTCAACGATTTATACTGTTTTTAATTAAAAAAAAAATGGTCATTCAGACTTTTAAACTCTCAAACTATACCATTTTTTAGTCTTCAAACAAATATCTAGTTGATCTTATTGAATCTCATATTCATGGCAACGATAAGATTTTATAAGGTTAGAATCATTTGTTGTTCGAAGATGCGATCTTGACATGTAACATTTCCTGTAGGAGTATTTAGTAAATTAGTCATATATGTAACTGATACCTATATACTAAACGTCCTATTGAATATTGTTTTAATGAAAACAAAACATAATCCTAAAAGAATATTTCATTTGCTTTTAGTATTTCAATATCAAACTATTTCATTAATATACAAAACATTCTTTGTTAATTTTTGTAATCTAAAAACAAAAGGTCTACCTGCATATTCACAAAAACCCGTTGTAGTTTTTGTAATATTTGTTGTTTCATTGAATACATTTTTTTCTGGTAATAGTAAACATTGACCTGTCCAACGTCCATTCATATTTGGTGTAAATGGTTTATTCAAACAGTCACCATCATTTGTACATATTGCATTTTTAACTTGTTTACTTTCAGCACATTTAGATCGTGTCTGATCAGTTTGAATAAAATTTGTCATTATAAATATAGCATTGTTTTCCGATGGTGGAATAACATAATCTATGAAAATAAAATAATGATTCGATTTTCATTATGATCCTTTGTTTTTTTTTCAAAATACCTGCTACATCAATAATAATGGTTCTGTTTTCTGGCGCATGAACATAACCAATACCTTTCACTTTAAGTGTTACTGACGATATAACTGCAGTATCTTGTTTTTGATAACCTTTTTCATATATAAGTAAATATATTACAGAATAAATAAGAATAATAATCTGTATAATACGAAGTAAACCAGCATATTTTGCACTATGTATTAAAACTAATTTTGGTGTTTCATATTCAGTGAAAAAACCCATAAGCATATTTTTCAAACTTTTCCCAATATTATAACGCTTCTTAAAAAATGGAGTTGATTCCATTTTTTACAATAAAATGTATTATATATTCTAGAATAAACTTAATAATAATAATAGTCGATCATTTTTAAAGGAAACAAAATTTGATATATTAAAAACCATTGTTTATTTGTTACCTAATAATATCTTTGTTTTGTTTTTTAATAATTATAATTTAATAGGATAAATTTTTATATTTATTACATAAGGTAGAGAAAATGCATTGATATTATAGATAACAAATATTACTGTAAATGCACTAAAAAAATAGTTCAACTCAATAAAGACCGTAACAGTTATCTTATAACCTTGTGTATCGCACAAAAAAAAATTTCTTACAGTAATGATTTGTTTGGTGATGACATATTTTGTTGACAGCACAAAACATGATATTCAGCTAGAATATTATTCGTTTGTCGAAATTTAGCCAGTTATCTTCATGTTACACGATGGAATTATAGAAAGACAAAAATACCAACGCACTGCCTTCAGCAACATCTCTTAATTGGTTTATGTTAAGAGAAAGAAAATAAAAATAATATATACAAGGAACTAACACATTTCCTTATATCAGATTCTTGGAAATTTTCTGGAAATAATGCTATACCTATTGAAAAGAATTTTATACTATTTTTTCATGAAGCCAAATGTCAACATATAAAGACATGTCAATTAAATAGCTCTATCACTCTATTTCGTCGATTTATGATCTACAGATTTAGATATGAAACGACTAAATTCATATATATTCATATAGAATATTCGTTGACCATGTCTTTCTGAATTGTATTCTTATATGAAATTTCTATGCCTATAACATCAAAGTTGTTTCTTGATGTCTACTCTATAACATCTATGCATCAATACTACATTCTTGAATAAATACTATTTTTCTTCTATCATCATACTTCTGTATTTATATTCTTAAGTCTCTCTAGACCTATTAAGCATGCAACCTTGGCAACCACTGACATTCATTACTATTTTCAGTTTTATATCCTCATATCTATACTTCTTTGTATACATTTTTATTCTTTTATTCAATCTTTTATATCTCTATAGCTATATCCTTAGCTTTTAATATTTAATTATTCTTGATTATTCTTATTCATTTGATGTTTACTTTCTCCTATTTATACCTCAATATTTATTTATTACATTTCTTCGTTTCATAAAATAATTTGATGTGCTTTCGTAATATTATTTCACATTTTTTTAAATGTTTATACTTTTCCTGATATCTCTATAGATCTTTAACAGTAACTAAATACCAAAACAAGTGTCATTGTCGGTATTTATTTGATTACTCATTTCTTGTTTACATTGCAACGTTTATTTCTGACAATGAAATTTTTTCATCACGAATGTAACCTGAAACATTCATCAAAATATACAAGAAGTTTTGTGAAATGATACATTAGAAAACATGTGCTACAAAGAAAGCAATTTTCGCACGTATGACCTAGTGCCTCTCAAGTGCATTAGCATTTAAAGCGCATCAATATAATCAACAATTGAGATCCGATCATCAGATTGCATAAAAGACGTTCGGAATTATTCGAATTTTATAAGACAAAATTGTTTTTCTAAACATATGATTTGTGAATAAATGATTATATTAATTAAATAAATATGCGTATACAACAATGGAGACGTTTAGAAAACTATAAAAAGAAATTATCTTTATCTTCGAATGTTTTTTGTTTTCTGTTGAAGAATTAAAATTAAAATAATATTTAACTCAGTAATATATAAAAAAAAGTACATGTCTTTAAATCATTTTAATTATATGATAAGTTCGAAATGTTTAGATCACATCTTTTTAGTTTAGATATCGATAATTACATAGTATCTCAAAAGTCATCATCACATTTCAAATGTGCATTGCTCTATTACCGATTATTCAGCTTTGTTCAGCATTTCTGTTCGTTTTTTTTTTGCAAAAGGAGAGTTTTGAATTTCTCACTAGTGTTTTATCAGCATTCATTTAACAATTTTTGAAAACATCAACAAACTAGAATTTTTTTCGAAAGCATTTTGTTCTTGGCACAGAAAAAAATTTGATAATCAGTAGAATGGATATAATGACCCATATCTTGATTTTTACTTTCATCAGATGTAGTATCGATAGATTCAATTCCTAAGAATATGTCAAAATGAATTTAAACTTATTCATAATGATATAAATTGAACTTTTTTCTTTCAGATAGTCAGAAACGAAGATGTATTAGATTAAGTTTGATCAATAATTGTGTTTGTATACATTTGAAATGTGATTATGATTTTGGAAACATTCTATAATTTTGACTCGTAGTCGTATAAAGGCAAGAATTCGTCTATTAGATTATTGCTTATGCTTAGAAAAATAAATAAATATCCTCCTAGGAATAAGAATTGTACATAAATAAGAAACAGAAAAAATGTTTCAAGCCTATCTCATTCATTAGTTTAGATAACAAGATCTTTGTTTTTTTTCATCAAAGAGAAAGAAAAAAATTCAGAATATTTTAATCCATAATTATTAATCTTTACATCAACTACATACATACAAACGCAAATTAATGCATATCTACCTGTCAATAATATTCTACATATCAAATTAATTGTATTGGCATAAACGGGTGACAGCTATCTTTTTCTATCTTTTAGCTTTCTACTACATAAGAAAGAGATTTTCTACCAAGTAACTTGTCCTTACTAATTGACTTTCTGAATAAAACCAGTTTTATTTGATGACCAAACGAACCAATCTAATTTTCTATAGAACTAAATAGTATATCTATAATACTTGTTAAAACTATCCGATTCCATCGGATCTTAACCCTTATAAGAGCGGAACGTCTGTAAATTGCTCCACAGGTGGTTCATAGATAATGTAGATCAACGGTAACATCATTGCCAAAATTGATCAAGCTAAGAAGGAATTAACATAGGTACCACACACGATCACTGTGCATCTCATAAATTGAGAAAAGATAAACATTCTAAGTCATCAAATCTCTCTTTTTGTAGCACTACATTATAGCTATTTCTGATATAAACTTTATCAATGTTCATCAAACTATTGATGAACTACACTATTTTTACTGAAAACAGGAATATGCAAAAAAATCTATAGAATGTCATGAAACGATCAATAACTCAGTGATAGTTTGATGGATCATGTGAAATTTTCAGAAGCTGTTTCACTATAGCTGGTCATTATTTTCGTTAAGCTTTAGAAGCAAACACTTTACTAAATGTAAATGGGGCACTGATGCCCATTGCAAACTTGTGAACATACTAGACACACTCCGTTAGTCAAGCAATGGAGGTCATCTTCTTATCCATGAACGAGAATGAGTTGAGCTATTATTTCGTGCTGAAAGCTCAGTAATTACTCATATATTACCTTAAAGGCAAACCATAAATCTATTAATCTATTATTTTCTATTTTGCTACCAAAAGAAGCAGATGTCTTAATTACGATGTTTCATAGAACGAGAGAAATCATCTCGTTCCAGACACCTGCACAGTTCTCCGCGGGAGTTTTGTATTGAATTATGGTATATACGGATATCGTTTTCATTATTTTATAAAAAGATTATGTTTCTAAGTGTGTAGAAAACCGTTACTAGAAATTTCCATGCTTTAAATTATCTTGTGCAGTATTTAATATAATTGTCAACAGCTTCAGACTTAATGCCGCATAATTCAATGAACGCAATTAGGTTTTATTTTTTGCTAAGAACATCGAACTGTTTGAAATGGTTTTTCTAGTGAAATTTTGACAGATGCAGAAGATTGCTCGATTTAGTAGAAAAATGCGAAAAGATAGGTTTATTGATTTATAGTTTGTTTTTAGGGTAATCCTATATGAGTAATTATTGATCTTTCGGCACAAAATCATAGTCCAATCCATTCTACTCCATTACTCAATAGATGACCTCATTAGGTTGAGTAATGGAGAGTCCAATGGTTTCACAAGCTCGCGATGGTCGTCAGTGTGTCATTTTCTTTTAATATGGTGTTTGCTTCTGAAGTTCTCAAACAACAATGGTTAGCTATGGTAAAACACCTCATGAAAGTTTCAAAGCGATTGTGTACGTTATCTACTATAACTTCTTTCTAGCTGGAGTAATTTTGACGCTGATGTTACTGCTGACCTAGGCAAACACGAGAAGTCAAAAGGACATTTAAACATCTCAATATGTAAACTGTTAAAAATGTTTGATTAGTCACCAAAAACACGTTAAAACAGTTTTACATTAATAATTTGTTAATGTTTTTAACATTTAAACGCTCAGAGTTATCGAAATTCTTACTGTTTTAACGCGTTTTTTGACGGCTAATCAAATATTTTTAACGATCTGAATATTTTTGATGAAAACGCTTGGTAATAGTTAATCAATTTCTTGTTTAAACGATAAATTTACAAATGTACAGGGTGTCCGAAATGTCGAGACTGAAAAACATTTATTCGCATAGCTTAATTGATTGACCCTTGTCAAGAGATTTTTTTTATAGTATCATAAGTGACAATCTCAAGTTTTTCTTTCTAAAAATAAAATATAATAGTATGTTTTTAAAGTAATTACCTTCAGTGACGACACAAAAGTTCAATATTTTTGTTGTTTTCATAATATTTCGCAAAGTTTGTTTGTTTTTTTCAATTACTTCGATTTCTAGAATTATTCTTATGTTTCAATTATTCAAATTTCGAATAATTGTTTTATAGAAATTAGTTTTATTATGTCCTCATAAAAAGAAATCGAAATGTCAAGTGACAACTCAAATAGTTAAAAAAGGAAAGCTCTGAAATATTATTAGAAAATTAGAAAAAAAAGGGTAAATTCTTGTAACTCGATTGATAATAATTATTCTAAAGAATACTTTCATAGTATGATCATCGAAATAAAACCTTGATGGTATCACTTATCATAGGAAAAATATCAGTTGATAAAGGCCAATCAATAGTGAAGTTATACGAAAAAACATTTTTGGGTAGGATCTTTTGGGACACTGTAAAAGCTTTGTGTGGACCGCTGGAAAATAGTTACTATAAGACAACTTATGATAATTCTTAGGGCAAAATTACTTTTTCGGATTACCTATCTTTTTCTATTCATTCTTTAGAAAGTCAAAATCTATATTCTATTTCGTTGAAAAATGTCAATATTACTTTCTTCCTTCTAAGATATCATGTAGTTAAATTCTCAAAGCTCGTTCACAATCAATGAGACATATACCAGTAAAGCAATGAATATTTTGTAGTTAGAAGCTTTTATGTCTATTCTTTTAATAGTGAAAAACTCATGCTTCATATTTAAAACAACCCATGAACTAGATTTTTGAGTGATTATATCTTTAAAAATAAAAATGAATGCAGAAAATCGCTAAACAGAATGGTGAACAAGTAATCATCTAACAAGTTTCTAATGTTGAGAAAACTAAAATTCGGATTGTAGTTACTCGTAACTATTGTCCTCGATGCACAAAAATGTTTTTCTTTATTTGACTCAGTTCATAATATCAAAATTTTAGGTGGGTTTTGTCGGAAAGAACAATGATATATTATGTGAAGCAAAAACTATCAAAATCTCGAGTCTATTTGGGAAATGATATCGTCATATTTGCAGAAATATTTCTATCTGCTTTCCTTTTGAATGATAATATTTTCTGTAGTTCATTCATCTGTTGAAGACTGATAATTATTTTTTATCGTTAGTGGAAACTATCCGTCTTAAAAAATTTATCCTATAAACATACTCGTAGCGAATTTCCTTAATTAAATATTTTACCTGAAGAATAACTATTGAAATACTGCTAATCTAATTCTGGATGATTGATTCTGGCATTTATATTTTGTCTGTCTTACATATAGTGATCATTCTAACTTGATCGATATCAAAACTCTAAAAAAAAAGCTCATCATTATTAACAACATACTAAGTCACTTATTCTTTCTCTTGTTTTGAAAGATTTTTCTCGGAAAAGACGTTTAACTGAGTTGAGTGTGTTTGTTTTCATACACACAATAAAGACATGCATTACTTATACTGAATCGTGCATCGGTTCTAATCATGAACTCAAACTTAAGTCGATAGCTAACCTAAATAACTACTCTTTACATGAAATGGAACACAAATGCATTTATAAGAAGAAAAGAAAGAGCAAATAATCGATGGAGAGAGAAAAAAAGTATACATTGTTTTTTGTTCTTCGTTAGCTGAACAGAAGCGTAAGGCCCCGAACAGACCGACTAATTCAAAGTGAATTAAAACCGAATTAACGAATAAATCGTCTCAAAAAGACGATTTAAATCGAAATAGACCAATCACGTTGCTTAATTTGTTTTATTTTTTTCAGTCTGTTCGGGGCCTAA